GGGATCCCTTTTTTCATCTTTTATGAACACTTGAGCGTATTCAAGTTTGCAGTCTGTTTTGAATGCGAGTCAAAGCAAACAAGGTGGAAGGGAGAGAATATACTTATATACTTATACCAAAACTAACTAATTTTGCTTACTTGCTGTTCTGCTAAACAATTCACTATAATAAGTAAATACTTAGATCTAAATCAGGACTTTTCTGAAATAACTATATCGACTACTCACTTTAAATAAATTCGTCAAAGACAGAATTATCAAGTGGCTAAAGAAATATGCTCATATTTACCTGCACATCAAATGAGAATTTTTCCCAAACGCCATTTGAAAGCACTCACCCAGTTTGTTATTTTTAAGAAGAAAGGAAAAAAGAAAGTCTCTCTGCCAGGTAAACCAGCTCTGGGAACTCGTGTGTGTGTGGCTGGTAAAGTGAGCTGCCAATAAAAAAGATTAAAATGCAGCCATAAAATACACAATTTTATACACATTGCCTTAATGAAAAGCTGGCAGAGGGCCTCCTGCTCATCCCGCCGGATTTGTTTCCCGCGAAAAGCGAATTTCATGCTTAAGCTCTGTAAAATTAACATTTAATTGAAGCCTACAATTCAGCGCTTTCGGCGGTGCCAAAAAACGGGCGGATTTTTGGGGGTTCAATTCTTGGGTGGGAGGGAGAGTGAGTTGGGCTGCAGGTCCCAGGATACCCAGCCCGAATATATACACACACACATATTTAAGCCAGACAAGTGCAGTGCATGTTTTGATAGCGTAAATTATGCAATAAAATTTATTTAATTTCACTTTTCAGAACGTTTTGTTGCCCCGTCACTGGCCCAGGGAATGTGTGCCGGGCATGCAAGGGGGCAGGAGCTACAACCACCAAATCCTCATGCCACCACACATCCTGGATCACCTGAAGCACACTCACATATGTAGTTGTGCGACCTTTTCCCAACCCCCAAAAACACAGACATATCCATATCAACCGGCAGGGTCCCAGGAGTATTGCAAATTGTTAAGGGGCAACTCCTCCTTCTTCCCACTCCTGCTTCTCATCCACATTCTTTCCCTCATCCTGGTCATCCTTATTCCAGATCCCTGCAGTTACCCCCTTTGGGCCACCTCCTCCACCATGTCCACACATTCACTCCAGTCGCTCCGGCGTTGCGTGCCCAGTGCGCATATTTATGTAAGCAAGCCAAGGAACACGAACTCACATATTCGGTGGTCGCTGCACAAGAAGAAAAAAAGGTTAGAAATTAGATAAAAATTAAAAGAAAATTAGAATTTATTATATATTATTTCATTTTATATTTATAACATTGGTTACTCTAAACTCACATGATTAAATACAAATATTAAAGCATTTTTTCTCAGCATAAACTCCCCCAACGAAATGGAAAGCGCGACCAAAGCCAGGAGGAAGCAGGAGAAGGATCAGGAGCTGGTCCCCCCTTAGTGGAGTAACTGCTCCTTGGGCAAACCCAAGAGCGTGTGTGTGTGTCCAGACCCGGTGATGCAAGCACGGCGGATTTCTTGGGGCCATCGAGTGCCTGGGCACCTGCAATGTATGTAACAACGCCGTCGATTCCCGGCTGACAGGCGGCTTAAACGACCCGTGGCTGGGTTAAATAATTAAACACCAATGACACTTAAACGTAAATCATGAATTTTGCAAAAGACCCCCAGCAGCAGCAACAGCAGTTCCTCGATGAAACATTAACCAAATGGCGACCCTTTCAAATCGGGGCCAAGACCAGGAACTCCGGCTACCCGGGAACACACTTGGCCATTTGTCTGGCCATAAACACTGATGGAGCAAGATACGGAGATGGAGACGATGCAAGGAGAGTAAAAGGAACTGTCAGCGCCGCCGGAAACAACACCCAAAAAATTACTGTTGCAAAATGCTGTACAAGCTTCCGTCTCCGAGTCGCTGGCTTCCTGCAGCAACGAGAACAAGGAGCTCCGGAGTCCAGAGCTGAAGCTAAAACTAACACTAACGCCAGCAAATCCCCAGCTGCTCAGCTGCTAGTTCAACATTCCAGCAATGGAAAGAACTATGGCCAACAATTTGATGCAGCCGGAAGCACTGAGAGAAAATGTAAGCAAAAGATTAACACCTTAGAAATTATTACTAAAGAAAAAGTAGTTAATTTGTATTATTTATAGTTAAGCTAATACTCTAAATAAAACATATTTTCAATATGTTTCCAAAAACTTGAAGTATTTGATTTTAATGGACGGTTTCTGAGTGTAAATACAGCACAGACTGTTCAAAATGGAGTATCTGGGGTTGGGGAAAGGACAAAGTCAATGTCGGTATGCCGGCAGAGTTGTCAACGCGCTTAAAGTTGCCTTAATTGCAGTCCTTGTTGTTGCTCCTCCTGTTGTTCCTGTTGCTCCTCCTGTTGTTCTGTTCCTGCGCTTTTTATGGCAGCCGTGTCGCAGGCGACAGGCGACAGTCAGCAGTCGTCGCAGTCGCAGGCGACAGTTGTCGTCAGCGTTGGGGCATGCATAAAATATGCTGCATACTTCGTGGCGCTGGCAAGAAACACAAGAACTCAAAGGCAATTCGGATGGTTCATCGGACTCGGAGGCGGAGGCAAATTGGGTCTGACGACATATTTTCCTTTCAGTTTCAGGCTGTTAATTATTATTATAGACGTGTGAGTGTCCGCCCCGTCTGGCTTGGCACACGACCATCGAATGCGAGTCCTGGCCAGAGCAGGAGGAGCGGCAAGCAGCCGAGCAGGGGATCATCCAACCACATGCAATAAAACAGCACTTAGACATGGACACAAGGACAAAAGTGCACTGGGGAAATATATTTCAGAATCCAGAAATAAATAAGAGAAAAGAGAAGCAGTTAAAAAACATTAAAAGCATCAAAACCACATATTTATTTACATATCCGTAGTACTTTTAAAGTATGTAGAATTACTCTAATCACTCTCCTATTTTTCTCCCTTTATCCTGACATTTTTTTGCTCAGTGCCCTCCACAAACACAACCACAATTGGGAAGCCAGAGACATCCAGAGTGTCGTTTCGTCCAAAGAGTGGAACGGTGCACCGGGGAACACTTTGCCAAATTGCACAATCTACTCGGTCTCCTGTCGCCAGTCCATTCCCTCCTGCCCAGGCCAGACCGGTCTAGCGTCCAGACGGTAGCAGGGAGCAGTAGCTCCTGACTTGGCCACTCATTTGACTACACTCGGCCTTGTATGTCGTCGAAGGCCCTGGGCCGCTTAACAGTCTTCAGTCCGACTTTCGGCAGTCACAGAGCTGAGCAGATGATACTTTCGGCCAAATTCAATAGCTGGCCGAAACGAGAAAGCCAATTAAGGGGATTTCATACCAAAATTACCTACTGGATAGATAGCTCTCTCTTTATTGCTGCAGTCAGGTTTTATTGATGCTCATAAAATCGTATTTATTTTGCGGTAAACTAGGAATTGCTTAGATGTGTTCTGATTTTTAGTTTCGTGAATTTAAGTGGGGGAATCGGAAGGAATTCCTTTAAGTTTTCATATGGATAACTCTTTTATATAAGAAATCAAACACCAGAACATCCCTTCATTTTCCGCCCTTTTACTCTTCTCTCACTTTTATTTTTCTTCCATCTTAAATGAATTAAAACCAAGAAACCCAAGACGTTCGTCGCTTGACAATTTTTATTGAAACTTGTTGAACTTTTCGCCGTTAATTGTTTGCCTTTTGGGCCCTGTTAGTGACGGTGGTAAGAAGCGGCGTCTGTGTGTGTGTGGCTGAGTGTGCGGTGACAAAGCCAAGTTAAGTAGTTGGCCGCCAGCTTATCGTCGTCGTTGTTGGAAAGACATTATTCTTGGTTCGCCTTTGTCCGGCGATTAGTTTCCTTTTCCCTTGGCTGAGATGGCGCCGCCAGGTGCTATAATCTCCGGCTGAGCCAAGAAAGCCCAGAGCTGACCGGACCGGACCGGATCGCGTCACATCAGATCGGATCGGACTTGGCCGAAAAGTCGGCTAATTAGCCGGCACTTTGTGTGGGCCAGGACACTTAATTAGCCGGCTCCTAATGCAGTGCGCCGCGCACATACAAATTGTTGGCGGGGACAATTGCATTCCAGTTGCGTAGCAGAAATGGGCGCCAATTAAAGTTGGCGGCACCCTGGGATTCGAAGTTGGTGCCGGGACTGAAGTTGGGGCCAAAGTTGGCATTTGCATCATCCGAAAGTTGGGCGAGCATATTCAAACTTTTTGCGCCAGTCGTTGTGTATGATTTTAATTCCATTTAAGTGCGAAATAAATTCGGCAAGCGGGGAAAAAGAGCAACAAGAGTTGAGATGCATATTGGAGAGAAAATGTTTGATATGGTATATCGGAAAAAGCAAAAGTATCGGCTTGAAATCAATATGGGTAATTACAAATTTATAATGTACATTTTAAAACTATAAGGCATCGAATGAAATCGAAGAAAAACAGATAACTACTAACGTATACCACTAAGAAAAAAAAAAAAAAAAAACTGTAATCCAGATCGATATTTTTATGTGCAAATTTTTTGGGAAAATCAAATCAAATATCAGAACTCAGCCAAAAATGGTATAATTTCAATTCGAAAAGCGGGTCTGTGCTAGTTTTTCAGGGGAAAACAAATCTGCATACTCAGTTTATAAATTTAAAAAATTCAAAATTTTGTAAGCTTTTGACAATTTTAATGATGTAACCCCTTATAAAATTTTTAAAATTTTGTAAAAAATAAATTTTTGTCAAACATAGCTAGATCGATTCAGCTGTTAATGCTGATCAAGAATGTATATGGTTTATAGGGTCGAAAATGGCTACTTCATCGCGTTTCAAGCTTCTGACTAAAATTATAATACAACATAGTATTAGTAATTCAAAAAAAATTTTAATTCATTATATTGATTCAATGTCAACCGTTTTATCTTTGGGCCATCTCTAATTGGGGAACAAGAGTTACATTCAGAATATATTTTTATTGCTAATACTTTTTCTGTGTGTGTGTGTGTGTGCGAGTGCTCCTTTTTGGCGTCGTCGCTAATTAAATGTGTAAATTGTTGGAGTTTTTAATTAAATGCGACAAGTGTCTACAAAAATTAAGCGTGACGGCAGGCGAGGACAACAAAAGGATTGGCCAATGGACCCATTGTCCTCCACGGATTTCCATGGCCGTTTGCTGCATTTGTTTCTCGTGGATTTCTGGCTTACGACAAAAGCTCATCAACTTTTTCTAGTTCGCTGGAAAAAAATGGCGGCAAATCAAATCAAGGAAATACGAGTGCAGGACGAAGGGGAAACGGAAATGGTAAATAATTTGGCGCAAACTTTTTACCAAATGAAGGGCATGCACAATGGAAATGCGTGCATTTCGTACAATAATGGCTGGGCAATGTCAGTATAAGTAAAATAATCAAGTAATCGTAATCGGAATCGTAAACATAATCGTGAGTAGTTGGACAAGACACATTCAGGATAAAACTGCAATTGAATTCAATCTTTGCTGAGACGAAAGTCTACTAACTATTCCTCCTTGCCCTCGACGGCGGGAACTTCCCAATAGTGCTCGTCCTGATGGTGCTCGTCCTTCTTCAGGTTACGGAAATTGGTGTACTTCAGCACGGCCCCTGGATCAAGAAATAAAAGACACATTTACTAAATTTTCTATTATAATATCCATAGACTTTCATACCTGTCAAAATGCCACCTCCGATGGCTATGAGCAGCGTCACAGCAATGCCAAACAATTGGAAACCCGCCTGCGAACTTGCATTCCGGCCGAGGCCCTACGGGAATTGACCAAAAAGGGATTAGCACCACAGATGCAGATGCAGGTGCACGGATGCGGATGCGGATACTCACGCCCATGATTTTGGTCTCGGTTCCATTGGTGCCCACCATCGCTGGGAAAATGTCCTGCAGCTCCGACTGATACTCGCCCACGGTGGCCATGGAGGCATAAATGGCCGAGGCAATGGCCGAAATCAGGGCCGGCATGCCGTGCAGATTGTGCACGCCACAGGTATCGTGCAGCCGCAGATTGGCCGTCAACCAGGGCTAAAAACAAGGACAAAGGACACCAAATGGATGAAGACAATAAAAGGACCTCTTCATTTTTATACGGTGAAGCTATTGTTAAACTAGGAGGTTTTTTCGGGGTAAAAAAAGCTTGGGATGAACTCTATAGAATATGTTTTTAAAGGCATAGTTTTCCTTTTTTCTTAAATGTTTATCATAAGCTAATAAAATCCTTAATACACTGTTTTTAAAGCTTGCAAGTAATAATTGAAGCTCCCTATTTTAGCCCCACTGTTTCAAATTAAATTTAATTAAAAAGTGAAACGTCGCAGGGTGTCATTCGGTCATTTGAAAAGTGCAAATTAGTTTATGACTCCAGCGGGGAAGTAACCTCACGGATTTCGGTGCTATGTGGTCGGGTTTTCGGTATGGAAACCGGGAACCTGGGAGCCTGGGAGCCTGGAAGCCAGGGAAGTGGGAACGGGATGAGGTCCCGGCTGCGGCTGACCGGCGGGCAACAAACTTTACTCATTAGCGTCGCATTTTTCCTAGGCGCACTAATTAAAGCGAAGCCACCGCTAGCTCTAGTTCTAGTTCCTGGTTTTCCTGCCCTCCACTCTGCTCACCCAATTCTGCCATTTGAATAGCGGGTTATGCTTGCATGAAACTCACTTTTTTATAAAAGGTAGTGTGTTCGAGATAAAGGGTATATAAAGGTGATGAAGCCTTAGGAGATATATGTGTTTTAAAACCTATTTTGAAGTAAAATGAGGCAGAATTAAATAAAAATATTTCTGTATAGATTACTTAAATATGTAAAAAATTATAATAAATAATTTTTGGAAGTGTAAAGGATAAACTTCACAGGTATCCTTTAGTCAGGACCCTCAACTACATGGTTCCTAGCATTTTGTCCGAGTTCAGCTTTCCGCTACGAGTTTCACCAGTCAAACTTACAGTCAAATAGCGATAGCCGAGCACCGAGACCGTGCCGGCGATAATGCCAATTAAGACGGCTCCATGGGCGCCCAGGAGCAGGTTGCACACGGTGCCCACGGCGACGCCGCCGGCGAGGGTCGAGTTCTGCACGTGCACCATGTCCAATTTATTCTCGTGGCTGACAAGCGCGGATACAACGAAGCTGGTCACTGCAACGAGAAACGAAACGAAATATTATAGAGCAGGGGATTGGGAGCAGGATGAGGTGGTGGGGAAAGGATACTGCTGCGGCTCCGGTTCGTATCTGTTTCTACTAAAGATTGAATGCTGCGAGCAGGTTTTGAATGCAGTCCAGATGATGGGTTTTAATTACATGATTTTAATGTATTTTTGAATGAGAGTCGGTGAGTTCATTAGCTGAAGCAGGCAGTGCTCTTAATAAGAGAAGCTTTAAGAGGTTTTAAAGAAGCAATAAAGGTATTCAAGGATTTGAGACTAGGATATGTTTTGAAAATAATCAACTTTCCTGATAGTTTTCCCTTTCCTTTGAATATCTTTAACTCTTAGAGAATCTTAGTTAACCAAACTATCTAATAAGCTTTTTATTTCCTCACCAGATGCACTTGTTGTGATGCAAAATGTTGTGCAAATAACGCATACGACCTGTTGAGCAGAAATATCACGTAGCCGACTTGGTGAACAACAAAGTCTCAAAGTTTGTCCCACCTTGTTTTTCTATGCTTATTTACTCGCTTCCATTCTCCAAAGACAACAAAACTAGAGTCCTTGCTGTATCCTTTTTAAGTTTACCACCACCACCATCCCACCCAGTTATCGCTAATCACTTCAGCAGCAGGAATGACACACCCGGACCCGGAGCCAGCCTTGGTTAGAACCGCACTTTTGCAATAAACACGAAACTAATAAAATTGTAAACACAACACAGTGCCAAGATCCCTCGGATTGCCAACAACAACAAGGAGGACACTACAGTTTATGACCGGGCTGGCAGCATAAATCTCGGCTGAATAACACTAAATACTTAAAAATCTCCATTTTATGGCGGAGCATATGTTGCAGCCATAATAATTTGCATAAATTAGTCCAGAAGGCCAGGACTCGGCCAGGACTCGGTTGGCCACTGCAAATGCTGGGCAAATCTCAGCCGGAGTAAGAGAGGGGCAGCCGGCGGCAACCGCAACAATTTCAAAACAGCTTTTGACGTTGTCCGGGCGACACAAAAACATAGAGAACAGCAAATTCTGGCTTAAAAATCAATTAAACAGCTTTTTTACAGCCAGCTACAGCTATGTCCTCGACCAGGACTAAACCAAAGCCAAGCCAACGGCATCCCAGATTCAGGACATCAGTTGGCGTTGCTTTAGTTGTTTTTGCTCCTGCTCCTGCTGATGCTGTTGCTGCTTTGGCTGCTCGAACATTAAACAATTTAAATTAACGCCAATGGTGTCACTTGCGACTGTAAAATGTGTTTTGTGCTTAACGTTGTTGGCCAATGCGGGCAGCCTCCTTCGTCCCTCACAAAAACCCGCCTGAATGACCAGACGAGCATCCTAACCAGGCCCAAACCCAAAGGTACAGAGAGGAAAATTAACTAGACGCTTACCTATGATTAGTTTTCATAGATTAAATATATAATAACTTATGCATTAAGGATTAAACAAAAGTATTTACTAGTAAATAACTAGTAATATAAATTCCCTGGAGATTTACTTAACTCTTCTGTAAAATTTGCAAATTATTTTAAACTTTCCTAGCTGATGACCAAATCTCCAGATCCCCTTTATATATTCTTTCAGTGCAACTCCCAGGACAAGGTCCAGACGACGCTCTGGCTCATTTTGTGCCTGGTGTGAAAACAACAACTGGGGCGTATTTTTGCTGTTGGCGCCGCATTTGGACACCAAATGGCGTCGTCTGATCCGCCTGGACATCCCCCCTCTCCTGAAGCTCCAATAATGCCAGAGTCCTGGCCATGTATGTCCACCCGCATGGGCCGACATGGGACTGGGATACCCCGGGCCTGTGGACCACACCCACCAGACCGCCTCTAATTTCAGCATCGAACTGAAGCCCAGCTTTAGTTTAATTAAGGCAACAACTAGTGAGCTGGGCAACCGGCCACCAAATGGACAAGGCCACGTCGGCATCCTGGTATTAAGACTGAGAGAGAGTTACAGAGAGAGGGGATTGGACGTTGACTCAACTAATCGCACATCCTTCCGCATAAAATGCCCGACAAGACTTTCCCTCTCTGGTGTGGATACTCTAGGATATCTCCCACCATGGAGTGGGTCATCGCATTCTGCTCTGGAGATTGGAATGCATTGATTAAGTTTCCTCTGGTCGGAAATAAATTGCAAACAAATTTTGAATATGCACTTTATTGAGAGCAGAGTTTTTATCCCAAATTAAGTTGTGCTCGAAAGGCACTTTCAAGCAGATGCCAAGTTCTTATGAAAAGAGGTAGCCAGGTTTCGTTTTAATTAGAAATATATAACAATGATAGATTGAAATGAGCCAAGTGGAAGACTCTATTATTTAATATTCAGTTAATAAAAATATGAAACTAGCGAATATTCTTATGCTTTTCTTTATATTGAGTGTCTTTTTAGGAAGAATAAGTATTACTCTTTTTAACTCTTACTTATATCTCTTTAGGGTATCTACATTTCGGATAGTTTTTTTTTCCAGAATTTCCCCCATCTCCTATAAGCTCATGTGCGCCTTTGTTAGGTGTTACCTCCGCCGACGCAGCCGCCGTAACGTGAGGACCTTAATACCATGTCCACTGGACAGAGCGAGGCAGAGCAAGGACTTGGAAGGACTCTGGCCACAGTTAGCCAAGTGTTGCCCTCCACAGCTTGGCTTATCTCAGCTGCTGCCGACCCCTACTATTATTACTGATGTCGGGTGTTGCCGCCGCTCGTCCTTTGTATACATTTAATTTGTGTTTTGTTATTTACATTAACCGAGCGAGAGTCAGGCCTGGCCAAAGCCCAGCCTCAGGCCAGAATCTCTGGGTTGCTGTTGCTGCTGCCTCTGGCACATTTTCTATGAGAGAATGTATGTGTGTGTGCCCGGTCTGGATACGGTCCTGGTTTTGACCGACACTTGAATAAAACTCCAAGAGAATTTATAAACCAACAAAGGTTTGGTCATAAACGAAAATAAAGGCTACAAGTCAAGGTCAAACCTTATTCTTATACTATCGATTTTTATATCAACTTTTATAAAACTATTTTTTGGTAACACTACCAGCTTTTTTCTCTCACTGCACTAACCGGACTAAGCAAATACCGGACAGACTGACCTCCTGCCATTCGGTTCGTTTTTATGTGCGCTACGTGCTCAAAATAAATTTTCAAATGTGTTAACGAAACTATTTGACATTTAATTAGTTTGTGAGTCGCATGCACAAGGACCCAAAGAGGTGGCTAACGGATCAGGGAGCAGGGACTAAGGGGCATTCATCCTGCCCTGGGCAGGGCCTTTTCAATTTCATTCGTAGCCGTGCTAATAGGGCCGCCAACATTATAATTAACAAGGCCCAAAGAGCCAAAGAGAAAGCGTTAAGATATGTTCGAGTACGAGTGGGCGAAGACAGCCGGAAGATGTGAGAGATGAGGAGATGGCCGATGGCGATGTCCTCCAGCTGCCCTCCACTTGAGCCGGCTAATTGCCGGGGCACGTGACTCACCTGTTGCCGCGGCTAATGACAGAAACGTGTTCAAAATGGCTCGCTCGCCGCCGGCTCCTTCGGCCAGCACAGAGTTAAAGCTGGGCCAGTACACCCACAGGAAGGTGGTGCCGATCATGGCAAAGATGTCCGAGGTGTAGCTGGCTCCCTCCAGCTTACCAGTCTCGTTCTGGTCACTCGAGGGGCGCAGCATCAAAGCCACAGCCAGGCCAAAGTAGGCGCCAAAGGCATGCACGGTGATGGAGCCGCCGCAGTCGCAGATCTGTCAAAGGAATTATAATATATCATTTAAATAAATAGATAAAATATTTTAAATAATTCAATAAAAAACACTCGATATCCGGCATAAAATTAGGCTTTCCAGGCTTTGCAGTTTTATTGGAATATATCCCATTTCCCTTTCATTAAATGTATGAAAATCCCCAGCTTGTTTTTATTACCTCTCTAAACTGCATAATATCATAGCCGAAATTTGACATACATTTTAATTCGTTTTGCATATGGTATTATGACCCAGAAGTACACACATGTGTGTTTCGTTGTGACCTTTTTAAACTTGTTTTCATAAATAATTTTTTGGACAAATACCCATACATTAGGTTATGCACTTTTCCGCTGTTTTTGTTTTTCCCCAAAATATAAGAACATTTTGCTATGCTAATTTTTTGACTGGCAACCATTACCCATTTTGGCTTTAATAAATATTTAAATGCCTTAAACTAAATAAAGAATGATGTAGAGTAATTATTTACGGGGGAATTACTCACACTGAACACATTGAGGGCCAAGTACTCGTTGACGGCGAACAGGGCCACCTCGAAGATGGACATGCACAGGAGCTGGATGGGCGTGGTCCTGCCAAGGAGGGCGCCCATGCTAATCAGGGGAACGGCGGCGGCAATATCCGCATCGATGATGTTCTCCAGGGAGAGGCTGTGGGGCGAAACGAAAAGAGATGAAAAAGGACGGCGAACGGTGAGCCGGAAGTGCGACAGGTGACACGCCCTTGGCAGCATAAAAAATGGCGGCATCTTAACCAACGAATGGCCGCCAAATGAAATGGAATACATTTTAAAGCGTTTCCATTTGGCCGGGCAGTTAATGTTTCTACACAGTGAGAAATCTTGAGGTAGTTTTGAGATTGCTCTTTAAGCAGGGGTCAATGAATTTTTAACAATTTAATTACAAGCCACAATTACTTAAGGTTCCAAGGATAATAAGATACAAGTTTATTGAAATCAATTATTAATTGAATTTTACCAGCATATCTTGCACTTTATAATTATACATATTTAACTCGTTTATAAATTTTTAATATTTTTAAACCTTCTCCCATTCAAGTTTTCAACTTCTTTAACCACTTTTTATTCTCTCAGTTGATTTCCTTGTCAGCTCCATTGGCTCCTTTGCAACCGCTTGTCCTTTTGTTTGCCGTTTGACTTGAGCTTGTTGCCCATTTCACTTAGCATAAGTAGAGGTAGACTTACCCTCCCTTCCTGCCTCTCTTCCCTTCCCCCGGATCACCTACAAAATCCCCGCCTCCAAGGGTTGACTTCTTCATTTAAAGTAATTGCTTGAATTCATTGCCAGCCCGAGGGTATTTTTCTTCATTTCATTGCCTCGGCTTATTTGCTTTGTCGGCTGTCAGTTTCGTTCCGGACATTCCAGAGGATAGCAATTAATAAATTGAAAGCACTCTCACCTGATCTTGCCGCCCTCCATGTGCAGGAATCCCTTCATGAGCACAGACCACTGTACCACCAAGGCGGCCATGAACAGAGTGAAGCCTGTGGCACTATAACCATATTTGCGCAGAAAGGTCATCAGGAAGCCGAAGCCAATGAAGATCATCACCTGGATGTCCTGGAATTCTGTGGGGGAATCAAGAGGGTTAAGTACACTTGGGAAATAATGTTACAAACTAATGTATAAATACTAAAATAAAATATAGTATAAGCAATTTAAATACTTTTCAGTTGGAAAATAAGCTTAGCGTCTGCCTATTAGAGTTTAAAATATCTGTCTAACAATTTAAATACTGCAAAGTAAAAATAAATTCCTAAGAGTATATTTTTTTAATTGCTTAAAAGTAGGCCTTAAATTTTTTCTGCATGTAAAAAGGGAACACTCCACTGGCCACTAGGATGTTGGCCAGTTGGGATGCCAATTAATTGAGTCAAGTCGTTTCAATTAACCGCCCAATTGTCTGCTGCCAAAAGTCAATTGCATTGAGATTGATGTCACCAGGGCGCCAAGATGCCATGGCCAAGTGTTCTCCCCAAAGTTCACCCCCAAGGAGACACCCCCACTGTACCCTATTCCAGACCCCACTGTGCGTATGTGTGCCCGCGCGGGTGCAATTAGTGTGAAATACGGTTTAATTTATTTATTATGAATTGCAACAAGTTGTTTACAGACGCATTTGCATAAATTGAAATTAATGACTTTAATTATCTGTGCGAGTGTGTGTGTGCCCGTTCCATTGTTGTTCGGGTTCGGTTCAGTTCGGTTTCGGTATTTTACCATATATAGAGCCTCATGAACATGTATATTCCAGTGGCAAAAAGTAATTAATGGAATTGGTGCCACGGGACCCAAAACAACTGGAGCCGGAGGAGACTGTGCGAAAAAGAACTTCATTTATTTATGACCCGCCAACACTTGGCGAACAATGCGCGTCCTGCCCTGGCTAAGGACCCTTCTCCTTCTATCAGTTCTCCAAAAACAACAGGATAAAACTGTAGGGTTATTCTAGTATAAAGGAGCATGGGTAATAGCTCTATATGTTTCGCTGTGATTTAAAGCTGTTACTTGGCTGCTTTCTAATTGTTTTGACCTGCTAAGTGCTAGTAATTCCCCTGAAATATGAAATGAGTCAATTTGGCCATCATTTGTGGGCTAGGAAAGAGAGTTTATTCCATTTATTTGTTCATTGATCAGGCCACTGTATTTTTAACTGTTGCCAAGTCAACTTTAATAATTAATAACTTTTAAGCCTTGGATAGCTAGTTTATGATAAATAAAAAAACATTTAAAAAACTAGATTTTAGCAACAAAATAAACTTCACACTTTTACGATCAACTTTATGTAGCATTATATAAAAATATGATACCATGCCGAAAACTGCTTTTAATTGGTATAAATTTTAAATGCATTTCATATTTATTGGGATTATTCATATATTTAATTGTTATTTATTTCGTATTTATTTGTTATTCTTTATGTGTTATTAAAGAAATAAATAAGACCTCTTTCAATATTTTCCTTATAAAAATAAAATTTTAATATTATTAATTGCTAAACAATAACAAATGCAGCCATATAAAAATAAACCACAATTGTATAAAAAACTTGACAGTTATTTTCACACATTTACGTTTATTTTTGAGGGGCAATTCTAAAAATATGACAGCATCCGCACAAAAGGGGAATTATTTCCCCCAAGCACGCACATAATTCACAAATTTCTTTTAATTTTTATACCCTTTCAGGGTACTATAATTTTTGCAAGAAGCTAGCAAAAGACTGAACGAATCATTTCCGACCCTATAAACCATATAAATTCTTGATCAGCATTAAAATGCGAATCTTTCTAGGCATGTAGGAAAGAAAAGAAAAAAAGAACTGAAAATTTTATAAGGGGTTAAATTTAATTCGTTACATTTTTCTAAAATTGATAAAAATTTGAATCTTCTACATTTGTAAAAGGAAGTATGCAGTTTTGTTAACACTGTAAAAACTAGCACAGAAAATCTATTCGAATTGAAATTGATGGATTTATGGCTTAGATATGATATATTTCATATACGGTCCCGTGATGTAATTACATTCTGAAAGGGTATACAATCTCCGGTTTTCCAAAGTTAATTCCCTCTCTCGTTGTTTTGTTTAATAAAAAATATAATCTGTTGCCGGGTAGATTTGCCTTAAGACACCTTCGATTAGCCCACGCTGGCTAATTAAGCGAAAAATATATATTTAGCAAATGCAAAAATATGTAATAAAACAAAAGGGAACTGGGTTAAAGCTCTAAACAATATTTTTCGCACATCTGCCGATGGTTTTGAGGGGTAAATCTAGGAATATTAAAAGGGGAGTGTTTACGGCGGTTTTAATCTCACCGGAATCACCTGATTTTGTTCCTATAAAAGATTGTACTACATTTTATCTACTATTTTTACCAGTTAAAAAATATTCTTAAAATAATACCAATAATCCAATTTAGACTTTCGCATTTATATACAAATCTGTGATAATGTTTCGCCCAAAAAGGAGCTGAAGTTTGTGGAAAATCCTTGCTACTCACGCGGATATTTCGAAACGTGTTCGTTTGCTGATCCAGCGTGTTCGGCATCGATTGGCCGTGGCAATGCCGTCTTTTCGTAACGCACGAACAGCCAGAATAGGACCAGGAAAATTATTTGCACAGTCATCAGGACGACGTAGCCCGACACTTTGGCAGCCGGCGAATGCATGATGGCGGCTGGAGTTGGAACAGGAGCAAAAAAACAAGGCAGCCCGATGGAGTGGCTACTGATTGGAGTTGGAGCTAAAGCCGGGAGGAGGGACTTGTGCTCTCAGATCCCAGCCGCAGTCGTGGCAGCACGTGTTCGGGGAATTTGGCAGACAGGAAGTCGAAGTCGATGTCTGTGGGGCGACTGTGCAAATATTTGCCACCGTTTTTCCCTTTTTTTTTTTTTTGCACTATCTGTGCTCTCGATGCGGTGCATCCACTCTATATATACAATATATATATATTCACTATCCACGATCTGCTGCGGCTGAGCACTGGGCGCGCACTGATGCCCGGAGCGATGAGCGCGGCGTGTAAGTAGCTTTGGTCGCTGCTCGAGTCTGCGGTCAACGGGGCGTATGTGCGATATCCACAGCGATTTTATTCGCATGATATAACTATTTGATTTAATTTGCCGGCACTGCTACTGCTACTGCCATTGCTCTCCAGCTCTTTAGCTGAATTATTTAGAACAGAAGCGGCACCCCACGAGACCGAGTCGTTGTGGTTCCATTATATTTAAATTGTTTTTGTTTTATTTTTCGGTTTCCTTGCAATTTCAATTTCGAATCCAAATCGTTTTACAAGCCAGCCGCCTCGACCTCAGTCTGGCTGTGGCCTGAGTCTGTTTGTTTCGCTGGTCAATTGATTGGTAATTCGTTACGAATTTATCCTCAGACTGCATTTTAGAGTTGAAGCCGGACAATTTGCATAAACGTTGAATAAACGAGGCTATCACAGAAGGGTTCAAAATGGCAAGGAAAACTGTAAAAATAGAATAAGATATAAATAAAATATCAAATGAATATTAATATAAATAAATATATCAAATTTAAATTAGGAAAAATAGAGAACAAGTTTATACCACCAATAATTGTCAAAGAAAAACTAAGTACTGGTAAAACTATTCGCTAGTCTTCACAATTTTTGAAACAGCTTTTGCAATTTTCTGGTTAAAAGATATAATGTATTTTATATCATCGAAATTTGTTTCAAATATTTTCTCTAACAGTTTTTCTATCTGCACTCTGTCTCAAAAGGTGAAAGTGGCTGCAACTTTAATGAATTCGAAATCACATTCAGGGTGTTGTTATTGACTCTGGGCCAATCGGTTAAACCCCTTCGGACAGGAGGGGTCTCCTTCTTCTTGTTGACTGATAAGCCGCAATCTCAGCTCTGGTCAAGTGGCTCTTGTAGTATAGTGATTATACACACACACACAGATCGAACAAACTGAAGCTATTTGGCATAGGAACCGCTTATGTACCAATTAAACACACAAACACTCATGCACCGGGCAGTGTCTCGAAATAATTAACAAGCTGTCAGCCGAAATGAATGCTCATAAAATAAACTATTGTCCAAGTGAAGCAGCTGACTCGATCGCTTATCGCCGCTCATTGATGAGCTAGCGGTTTCTTGCCAGCAATTCCAACTGATTAACAGCCTTTTTTAGTGGTTTAGTGCGAACTTAATGGGCATAAATAAAAGCGCGGCGAGTCGCACGCAAGTGCCAAAAGCTTCAAGCTTTGAATGTTTGAAGTAGTTGCAGGGAACGATCGAAGTACTAATATAATATAACTGCCTGAGAAACGGTTGTTAAATGTAGATGATCAGTAAGTATCTTTCAACGGTAACAGTAAATAACTATGACAAGTAATTAACTCTGAACAGTAAGTATCTATGAAAACTAAGTAACTATAATCAGTAAGTTCCAATAAACATTAAATAACTATGATCAGTAAGTAAGACCACTAAGTATCTATAACCAGTAATTATTTATGACCAGTAAGTAACAATGAACATTAAATAACTTTGAACAGTAAGTATCTATGAACAAAAAGTAACTATGATCAGTAAGTATATATGACCAGTAAGTAAGTAAGTAAGTTAAGTAACTCTGAACAATAAGTATCTATGACCAGTAAGTACGTAAAGGGGACCATGGCAATAAAGAAATTTATTGGAATATAAAGTCTAGACCTTGGTCTGATCCCACCAACATCTTCTTCATACATAATATAAATGTCTTGGTTAAGACTTACCGCAGTAGAGCTCTTTTGTCATTGCTTACTTCCTCCCAGTGTAGTGACCAAGATTGCGTGACTTCATTCAAGTAAGCTTCTTCCTGGTCATCCAGATCCATTCCATTGGCCACGTCATATTTTTGGTCTCGAAGGGTGATCACTTGCACTATCACTATCGATGTTAACACTAGGTACCCCTAGGACAGACTGAGGCGCGCGCGACCTAAGCGCCTCTATTTATAGTCCCCGAGGAAAGAGAAGAGAAGAGAAGAGAATGTGAGTGTGAGTGCGTGGGAGAGAAGCAGTTGCCTCTAGAGATTAACATAGAGCGATAGGCATAGAGAGAGAGAGGGAGAGTCCGAGAGAAATTAATTAAGTAACTATGATCAGTAAGTAACACTGATCGGTAAGTATCTATGACCAGTAAGTATGTACATATGATCAGCATCTAACTTTGAACACTAGTAAACAATGACTTGCAACTTTTGTAACACAACACATTTCTTAGACTTGGCCGGCAGCAATCACTTCGATCCGGGGATGTTAGAAACAGTTGAGAATCAATTTAACATATATACAAATTTAAGAGCAAGCTTTTTGAATAAAACAATGGAGTTATTCTTTTATATAATTTTACTAGTATATAAGTCGGAGCAGGGCAAATCGGTGGACTATATATGTATATATACATATATATAGCTGCCATAGGAACGATACGAGTTAAGAAAAAAATATTAAAACTTTTCCAGTTTTCAACAGACTTTCATCAAATTTGATATACACCCATTATAAACTAATCTAGAATTGTGTGTAAGCTTTTATAAAAATCGGAAAGAGCGTGCCGAAGCTACATGCATAGCTTACTTTATTAAAATCATCGAAAAGTCAAATATACTATTTTTAAAACCCTCTTAAGTACTTCTAAAAATAATTTAAATGTCAATTTGGCACTTCTCGCATCTGGAACTCTAAAATATATTTTCTTTCGGTAAAGACTTTATTTTTAATTAGCGTTGAAATCCGTGAAATTGTCTTTTAATATTATTTTTTCAGAAGCTTCAAACGCAGTGAAGGAATCATTTCCGATCCTATAAAACTATATATTCTTGATCAGCATCGATAGCTGAATCGATCTAAATATGTAAGTAAAGAAAAAACTTGTACTCAATTTTTCAAAATTTTATCATTAATTTATTTACATCATTTAAGGAAAAATTTTAATTTGTAAAATTATAAATTTATTATGCAGATTTATTAAGCTAATAAAAACTAACACAGAACAGTTTACCGATTTGAAAATAATGAATTTTTGGCTTAGTTATGATCGATTCCCCATTCGATCCCTGACCCAATTGCAATGTTCAAGTGTATGCAACCAACGGCTTCCCTAAGTTTGATTTCTTGGTTTTACTTAGTGTAAATATCAATCAAAGTGTCTTTTATTTAATTTAACTTTACTCCAGTAGCCAGTGTCGTACTTGAATTTGAACTCAAACACATTCGATTGCAGCAGATAATCGAGCTGAAGTAAGGGCTATATAACATATCAGGCCGAGACGAGCTTATTGCTCCAAGTTGAAGTTGAAAAGTTTGAGAGCATTCGGCTAATTGTTAAAGCAAATATCCATATAAAATTAAACAGAACTCATAAAAGTGGAAGTGGGAGCGGGGTGAAGTGAGTCGAGAACCTGCAGAGGCCACTGGGGCGTATGATTGATATTTATTTTTTCTACAAACACAAGCGCACCTGTGTGAAAATTGAAATTCTCATGGCGCTGGCAACAATAAAAAGGTAAGGCCAAGCACGGCACAAGCCCCACATAAGAAAATGTGTGAAGTTTGCGCAAAAACCGCAAATGTTGCCAGGCACGCGCTCGGATCTTGAAAATCCACATATACACATGGACACACATAGACCCTGTGGAAATAAAGAAAGCTGGGGAAAAGCTGGGGGAAAAGCCGGGGGAAAGCCGGGCGAAAGCCGGGTGAAAGCCGGGTGAAAGCAAAGAAAGGCAAAGGCATCCCGGTACATCAGAGCAATTTTCGTGCTGCCTACTTGGGAGGGAAATTTGCATCCGCAATCACTTTAAATGTTTCCGTTTGAATACGCAAATAAATCGAAAAGGATTTCCAATGAATGCTTATGAGTGTCCCCATCCCCCTTCGTCCTTCCGCTGTCGTCCTGCAAAACCCTTGTTAATGTTGTTGTTTACAACAAGTGTACATGTCTAAATCCCAGAAAAGTGAAGATACACAGGGAATAGCAGAGGGAAATAAAAAAGAATACACAGCAAAGAATTCAGAAATCGCAGTGAAGACTATGCAATACCTGGTGTTTGAGCTTTTTACTTATTAAAAATATATAATATATGTGCCTCTTGACTCTGCCTTTTGTTTCAGATAAAAACATAATATATATATTTAGAAAATAGTTTTCTATAACAACTCTTACTCTGCATACCCTTTCATCTTCTTGTATCCCCAGAGCACCCTACATGTGAACTTTTGATAACGTTGTGAAGCGTCTGCCAAAACTGTCAGACTTGTGCCATCCTAAATGCCCGGCCACAAGTGCTCGCTCTCGACCCGGATGCAGGCTGCCCCGATCCCGGTTCCGGCCAAGTTGTGGCCAGTCTGGGTCAGGCGAAAATATGTATATGGCTCCGAGTGGAGGCTGGGCCATAAATAAATATGAGCCACTGTTGTCAGACAACGGCACAACAACGTTGACGATATGTTGATAAACTTTAACACCCCACAAACACTCGCATAAAGCCGGCCAAGTGTCCTGAGTAGTGCAATCTCTGGGAATCCTACTCGGCTCTAGCTGGTGATGCTCTTCGTGGCACTGGTCCTGGTCCTGTTCCTGGTCCGGCTGACCCATAACAATTGCATGGAGTGCGGCTCTCCGACCATATGCAAAGTGTTTGCATTCCCATTCGGGGCGAAAGTCCTTTCGGGAGCATACACACAGCCAGCATGCAGGACTCTTTTGTGTGGCTTTAGCTACGCCAGCCCAAGTATCTGGCGGGCTATCCTTGCTCTGTAGCTTGGCAGCACTGGGAAAAATAAGTATTGAATAAGGGAAATGTTTTTAAAAGCTTCAGAAATATACCTTTTTAATTGTTACATCACTTGAAGTCCTATTTTTATTACTTACCCCTCAAGTTATCGCCTTTCTTTTCTTCCAGTGCCGCATTCCTGCTGCACTCTCGTTGCTGGATTTTTGGCTGCCGCTGCATTTGGTTCCGTGTCTGTGTTCGGGGAATGGATGCCATCCCTCCTCGGTTGCGGGTGGATGCGCCTAAGCGATTCGCTTTTTGTCTGTTTTGTGTCAATTTTGGAATCCGCTTTGGTTTCGCTCCTGCTCCTGCTCCTCCTCCCGCTGCCGACGTGATGCTATGGAACAGCTTTTGGTTGCGCCAATTGTTGGCATTTACAGGCTACTTGGCTGCCGGGCCCCTTGACTTGGCCGGGATTCCATCGGCTCTGGGGCTCCCACCACTCACCACTTACCACTTCAGCTCCTGTTCCAGCTGGAGACTGCTGCTCCTCCTGCAGCTTCGTCGGCTTAGAGATCCGGCTCAAGTGGCGCATTGGGGATTTTTCAATTGCGTTTATAATAAATTTCGATTTGTCAGCGGCAAAGCGAGAGAGCGGCGTCAAGTGGCCGCCGCATCCCGAGTGGCAAACCGGGATGTCAGTCAGAGAGATACAGATACAAATCCGGGCAGAGCTCAATGGCCGTATCTATGAGTAAAATGATTCAACTAAGAGTCAAAGAAAATCAAAGGCATTTAAAGGATCTAGAAACATGTACATGCAACAAATGTTTAATAAAGTTTTAAAGAGTTCACAAGAAAACTAAACCCAGCTTAGTGAATTACTCTTTGGCTTAAATAAACATTTTCAAAACAATTATCTTTGTTTATTTATTCAACAACCAAAAAGAGAATAAATTTTAGACAAAACTAGGTTGAAATTATATATATATATCATTTCCTATTCTGCCGTAAACTATGCCACAAGCTAAAGCCATTTTCCAAAAGTATCTTTAATCTGCAGCCCGATAATAGACTCCACACAGCTCACTAGAGGAAAACCAGTTTAAATTAATTAGAATGAAATGGGAGTTGCGTGCAGACAAACTGGCTCACAGAGGGGCGGCTATATAGCCTCATAGCAGGTGCAATAAAAAGCTAAAAATCCATCGGATCGATCGTTTGACACACGATTAGCCATGTGAATGTGAACTAGTTTGATTATAACCACTTAAGTGTGGCGCCGGATGGGTAACCAAGGGTTTTGTTATTTATTCGAAATTGAAGGTAAACAAAAAGGGCACAGAACACACATGCTCTGCATTCTTGATACGAACGAAATATATAAACTCTAGTTTAGGATATAATTGTAATTGAATTTAAGGGGCTTGAATTATGAACTATGGCTGGAAGTCTCCTCATTCTCATCCTTATTCTGCTTAAGCAATGGCCGTGGCATGCGTGGGCGTTGGTGTCACCGTCGTTGCCGTCTCATGGGCCGGAGCTGGGGTATAAGTGCTAGGAGCTGCCGGTGCCGGTGTGTAAGAGCTAGTGCCCTGATCGGGCTCCTTGTCCAGGATCACCTTCTTCAGTATAAAGTACAGGGCACCGCCAATCAGGAGCTCAGCCAGTGCAATGCAGACGATCATAGCCCAGCCTGGTATGGCAAGGCCACCTGTGGGACAACAGAACGTATGAGTAATCTAGTCAAAAGAAATTATTACGTATACGCCTCGACTTACTGAAGTAACGACGGGTGAGGGTGCGACGACCGCGGTTCACGCGTCGCGTGGCCTCCGTTTCCTGCAAAACACAGGCCAGCAAGACTGCAAATTAGATAGAAAAGAAGCGTTAAAAATAATTAAATAAAATAAATAATAATTACAGAGTAAAACGAGAGGCACTCGAGCACTCAAGTTAGCTGTGATTTGTCCGAAGACCACCGTCGAAGGTGGCTTGGCTTTATGGCTTTGAGGCATCCATCAAACCGGAGCCATAAAGCGAGCCAAAACGGAACTCATTGAAACAACGCCGCGACCATTCATCATATAGAGCTCCAGCGTATCTTCGATCTACGCAGCCAAACACGAAGCCGAAGACTTGTTAAGATGTATTAACAATTAATTATTGAGAAAATGTTTAACAACAGAACGCAAATTCTGTTTGAGCAAAAAAATAAAAGAGCGCGCGCGCGCCAAGTTCGATGATAAATATATTCCTTCAAATTCTTCCCCTTTTGTTCGTTCCATTGCGGATGTCAGACTCGATTTCACGTAAAATTATCAAAATGTATTTTTAATTAATATTCTTTTTTTTGTGTTTGATGTTTGTTTTGGTTCGGCGCTCTTTCGGCATATTTTGCGCATGAAATATTCAGCGGATTTGGATTTAGTGACTGTGTGTGTGTGTGTGGAAAACTCAATGTATTGATTTGCAGCCAGATTCGATTTAACATTCATTCGGATGATTCATTGGGCTTTGACAAAAACCATCGGCCAAATGGATGTGGCTAAGTGAGCGACCGAATTTCGTCGGCCAGCCGCTAACCGAAATTAATTGTTTCCCATATATATTTATTTATTTTTTGTTGCTAGCATATTTCATAATTTATATGCGAAATAATTACCGAGCTTATGCCACTTCCGGTTTTAGTGCATTGTACTTTTCGGGCCTAATCAAATTTTAATGAATCCAATGAAAACCTTTTTCCAAATTTATTAACTGCCGCATGAATCAGCGATTTAATAGGAGGAATGTGGCTGGAATCCCTTTGATTTTGAGCTCTGATTCACCACGCCCTGGTATAAACATCTGAAGCAGTGTGATGGGGCAACCGTGAGTAAACAACGAAGCTTATCTGAATCGCACTGATAAGCGCGCACATATTTGGAGAGTGTGACACACACACACACACACTTGGCCCAGTTACTCATCGTTAAAGTCTCCAATTGCCAGGGAAGTTGCGCCATTAGGGCCCATCCACGGATACGCTGGGCGTGTCTCTACTCCTATTATGATGCAGCAGCCATGCCTTCTGATGGCCATTTGAGCTCACACACACACACGCGAAGAGTATCTGGCAGATACTCAAAACGACGACGGAATCGTATGCAGAACTTTACCCAGGCATATCACCAAGTAGGTGGAGCACTTCTTAGCCAACTTCATTTCCGTCGTTTTCGCTCGTTCTCGTTCTCGTTCGCTCCAAAAAACTTCTGCTCGCTTTCAGCTTTTGGCCAAGTTTGTAGCGCGCACGTCGTCGACTCCAAAGTGGAACTAAAAACCTGTGCGTGATTGCAGTCCGCGGCAAGTGGTCGTATCTTATCGCACCGCGTCTTATCAGGCTAAGATAAGATAGCGCTCTCCCCCTCCTGCTGGCATTCCCTACATGCTGAGGTCAGGCACACTGAGGAAAAAACAAAAAAGGAAATTAAGTTCGAGAAGTCAATTTTTTATATACTTGAAGTTTGCAATTGAAATATAAGATCATGTCGGAAATCAATCATACTAAGTTTAATATGTTCGCATTTTTTGAATCGACCATTTATCCATCTTTTTATATGACATAGAATTCTTATAACTAAGCCGAAAATGCATTAATTTAGATACGGCTGTTCTGTTCTGTGCTAGTTTTGACTAGGTTAATAAATCTGCATACTCAATTTAAAATGTAAAAAATTTTAAATATTTATCAATTTTTGTAAATTCTAACGATGAACCGCCCTTCTAAGTTTTTGAAAAAATTTACAACACAAATTTTGCTCCCTTTTATGCCTAGAAAGATTCGCCTGTTGATGTTGATCAAGAAACGACTCCTTCCCTGCGTTGCAAAAACTATATTGACTAAAATTATATTACCATTCTTTTTGTAAATATTTATTTATATTTTAATAGGACCAGTAAGTAACTATGATCAGTAAGTACCAACGAACATTAAGTAACTATGATCAGTAAGTATCTAAGTCCACTAAATATATATGACCAGTAACTAACTATGACCAGTAAGTATGTATGATCAGTTACTAACTTTGAACACTAGTAAACAATGACTTGCAACTTTTGTAACAAAACACATTTCTGAGACTTGGCCGGCAGAAGTCACTTCGTTCCGGGGATGTTAGAACCAGTTGGGAATCATATGCACAGATGTGCGAGATTTGTTTTGGAACAAATTTAAGAGCAAGCTATTTGAATAAAACTATGGAATTACTCTTCTATATAATTTTTCTAGTATATAAGTCGGAGCATGGCGAATCGGTGGACTATATATAAATATATATGCTGACATAGGAACAATCGGACGATTTATAAAACTATGATCAGTAATGTACTATCAGCAGTAAGTAACTCTGAACAGTAAGTAACTCAGAACAGAAATTAACTATGGGCGGTGAGTATCTATGACCAGTAAGTAACTATGATCAGAAAGTATCAATGAACACTAAGTCAGTAATTAACTATGAGCAGTAATTATTAGCAGTAAGTATCTATGACCAGTAAGTAACTATGATCAGTAAATATATATAACCAGTAAGTAACTATGATCAGTAAGTATCAATGAACATTAAGTAACTCTGAACAGTAAGTATCTATGACCAGTAAGTATGTAAAAGAGACCATGGCAATAAATTTATTGGAAAAGTCTAAAGTCTAGACCTTGGTCTGATCCCACCAACATCTTCTTCATACATAATATAAATGTCTTGGTTAAGACTTACCGCAGTAGAGCTCTTTTGTCATTGCTTACTTCCTTCCAGTGTAGTGACCAAGATTGCGTGACTTCATCCATGTAAGGTTCTTCCTGGTCATCCAGATCCATTCCATTGGCCACGTCATATTTTTGGTCTCGAAGGGTGATCACTTGCACTATCACTATCGATGTTAACACTAGGTACCCCTAGGACAGACTGAGGCGCGCGCGACCTAAGCGCCTCTATTTATAGTCCCCGTGGAAGGAGAAGAGAAGAGAAGAGAATGTGAGTGTGAGTGCGTGGGAGAGAAGCAGATGCCTCTAGAGATTAACATAAGGCAATAGGCATGGAGAGAGAGAGGGAGAGTCCGAGAGAAACAGCGAGCTATTTAATTAAGTAACTATGATCAGTAAGTAACACTGATCGGTAAGTATCTATGACCAGTAAGTATGTATGGTCAGCATCTAACTTTGAACAATAGTAAACAATGACTTGCAACTTTTGTAACACACATTTCTGAAACTTGGCCGGAAGAAGTCACTTCGTTCCGGTTGAGAATCATAAGTACACATGTGCGAGATTTGTTTTGGAACAAATTTAAGAGGAAGCTATTTGAATGAAACTATAGAGTTATTCTTCTATATAATTTTCCTAGAATGAAACTATAGAGTTATTCTTCTATATAATTTTCCTAGTATATAAGGCGGAGCATGGCGAATCGGTGAGCCATAAATATAGATACATAAATATATATAGCTGACATAGCAACAATCAGAAAATACTTAATTCCAAAAGTTGAAAATTCAAATTTTTGAAAATTTTAATGATCTAACCCCTTATAAAATTTGAAAAAAATCTAAAAAAAAATTGGTTTTATCTACATGCCCAGAAAGATACGCCTGTTAATGCTGATCAAGAATATATATAGTTTATAGCGTCGGAAATTACTCCTTATTATCTTAACTCCTGACTCTTGGCTCGATAATTCAGCAAGAGACTAATTGTGAGTAATACTAATATGATGTTCGCAAAAAAATTTTCTTAAAACCAAGACACAAAAGGTTGACGAATCATAAGCACAACCCTTTAGATAGGGATACTGATGATAAATTTGTTGTTTTAAAAATTATATCCTATAATCATATCATAATGATATAAATCGAAAACCCTTTCATGTTTTTGTTTTAAAATGTTTATTATTGTTAATTCGTGTTTTGTACTCGGATTGATCATAACGGATTCAAATTGACTAATACGCTCGACTTATGGTTAGTTTCATCGTGAGACTCTCAAAGGCAGGACTTCTTCTGGAAAAGCATCCTCGACAATCTCAAATGCTGCGGTGGGTGGTGGCACAGTTGGCGGCTTAGTGACGACGGAGCTTCAGGCGGCGGACGGTCTTGTAGCGGTATCCATCAGCGGCCAGCACGGTCTGCTCGGCGGGCACATCGATGATGGCAGAGGCGGCGGCCTCCTCCACGGGGGGCAGGTACTCAGCGGAGGGCAGCTCAGAGACATCACGACGGCGACGGATCACACGACGGACGGTCTTGTAACGGTAGCCATCAGCGGCCAGGGGAGTCTCAACGGCAACAGCCTCGGAGGCAGACTCCTCAACTGGGGGCAGGTACTCGGCGGAGGGCAGCTCAGAGACATCACGACGACGACGGATCACACGGCGGACAGTCTTGTAGCGGTAACCATCATCTGCCAGGGGGGTCTCGACGGCAACAGCCTCAGAGGCGGACTCCTCAACTGGGGGCAGGTACTCAGCGGACAGCTCGTTGACATCACGACGACGACGGATCACACGGCGGACAGTCTTGTAACGGTATCCATCATCAGCCAAGGGAGTCTCGACGGCAACAGCCTCGGAGGCGGACTCCTCAACTGGGGGCAGGTACTCAGCGGACAGCTCGTTGACATCACGACGACGACGGATCACACGGCGGACAGTCTTGTAACGGTATCCATCATCAGCCAAGGGAGTCTCGACGGCAACAGCCTCAGAAGCCTCCTCCACAGGGGGCAGGTACTCAGCAGAAGGGAGCTCGTTCACATCACGACGGCGACGGATCACACGGCGGACGGTCTTGTAGCGGTAGCCATCATCAGCCAGGGGGGTCTCGACGGCAACAGCCTCGGAGGCGGACTCCTCAACTGGGGGCAGGTACTCGGCGGAGGGCAGCTCGTTCACATCACGACGACGACGGATCACACGGCGGACAGTCTTGTAGCGGTAGCCATCATCAGCCAGGGGGGTCTCGACGGCAACAGCCTCGGAGGCGGACTCCTCAACTGGGGGCAGGTACTCAGCGGACAGCTCGTTGACATCACGACGACGACGGATCACACGGCGGACAGTCTTGTAACGGTAACCATCATCAGCCAGGGGAGTCTCAACAGCAACAGCCTCGGAGGCGGACTCCTCAACTGGGGGCAGGTACTCGGCAGAGGGCAGCTCAGAGACATCACGACGGTGGCGGAGCTTGAGGCGGCGGACGGTCTTGTAGCGGTATCCATCATCGGCGAGAACACCCTGGTCGGCGGGCACCTCTACGAGATCGGAGGCAGCCTCGATGTTGTTGTCCACCGGCGGCAAGTAATCCGTGGCAATGGATGCCGCAGAGGCTGCTGCGATCACAGCAAAGGCAATGACGAAGAATTTCTGTAAGGCAAAAGGAAGTTCGAAGGGTTAGTCCTGGTCCAAAAGGATGTCTGGTGATGGATAGAGAGAACTAACCATTTTTCCAGAAGATCCTAGACGATGTCTGTTAGATTAATCCAAAGTTGATTCTGTTTCGAAACCAGACCCAACGACACTATTTATACAGAAAATGCGCGAAAAGTTCTCGGCTGGCCGATGTCCATTCACTTTGGGCCGATCGACGAGATGATTTGAGATGAGCTACGATGATCGCAGCAGAGGAAACCGGTTGCTAGCGATCTGTGGTGGACTACCGCATCGATATGTGGCTTCTTCGAGCGCGGGGATTGTCTAGTTGCTATTGTCAAAAAGTGTCTCAAGCACCAATTGAACCCTCGGCGGCGGCGGCGGCTGTTGACCATAAAAAATGATTAGCCGGCCAGCATCTGCCAGAAGACAAAACGAAAGTAAACAAAGCTCGGAGCCAGTGGGCAGCGTGGAACAATGGCTGAGGGGCATTCTATGAACGGATCGCGGATCGATTGTCTCGATTATTTGCATCAGTTTATGTCAGACTTATGTTGAATAGATCAGATACATTTGTGTCCACCATGGTAATTGCAAGCGGAAGTCATCGACGACGATGCTGCCTTTCATTGGATGTACGCCGTGTGTATTTTTGGAGGCTCTCGAGCATCGTTGCCGAGCAGCGCTTAAGGCCAAGATCGGCCGAAAGTGTACGCCGCCATCACGATTGATACTCCACACTTGATGGACGCCAGTCGCTGCTGGGGCTGAGCCATCGAGTGTTGCTATTTTGGGCTCTCAAAGCGCTCGACACGCTCGATTAGGCGGGCTATTAATAGCCTCATGATTTAAGAGATCGCTTAGCGATTTTCCATTTTTTCCCAATATTTAATTTTAAATTTAAATCGCGCTTGCTGCTGCTCCAATTGAGCGGCAAACAAGCCATAAATCTTTAACAATCTCCCACTCACAGCGGAGTAGGAATCCATTCCGCCGTCGAGAATGGATGATGGAGCACCACTCGACGATAGCAATGGCAATGGCAATGGCTGGGCAAGAACGTCGAGTGGCCTGTCTGTCCGAAAGGCGTTTTGATATGGAGATTGGTTATAAGTTATAAGTTATAAGAATAGAACGGAATGTGCTCTTCATGTATTTTGGAGTATGGCCGTTGGCTGAACTCACTCTGGGGTTACATCCTGTTGGACGCTGTATTGTAAGTACTAGTTTGCATTGGTTATTATAATTTCAGATCTGTAAAACTGTGCACCAAGCAGGCACAGTCTCTCTTTCATTAACTTTGCTTCCTGGTCAACAAAAAACAAGAGCTCAGTTTCAAATATATTCACACAGAGCACACACAGTAGGTTGGGGACTTATTCATTCGTTTATTCATTTGTAAATGGCGCACATAAAAAATATATTCGTATATCCAGCCGGGAACGTATAGTATTCTGCATATTTAATTTATATCTGGCAATCAGCATCATCATCATCATCAAAATGACACTGCGCACATGCCACGTGCCCCCCACGCTCGAAGCCCGCGGCCCAGATCCGTCCTCTGAATGCGGAAAACAGGAGCCAACACAAAATAAACAAAAACGGGAGCGGGAGCCGGAGCCCGGCCAGCGCGCTTTTGGGGCTTCCTGGAGTGCGGAGGAGGCACCGCGAATCAAACGAAACAAAATCAAAATAAATACATCTGCATATAGATGGGACGACGACAGACGCTTCTTTGTGCCAGCAAAAACGAAAAGGATAAATAGGACCAGTCCAGGGAGAGTCCAAGGATCGCCGCCACCTGGCCGACACGGCCGGATGCCACCCGGAGGTGGCTCCTGGCCATATCCGATCCCCCCATCTCAGTCATCCAGCTGGCAGAGGCAGGCCGTGCCCCGGTTAATCCAATGCATTGGTGTCCGGGAGCATCTTAGCTGCAGGTACATCACGAAATTGGTTGAATGGCCGGTGGTGGACAGGACACCTCTGCGTTCGCTGGTCTTGTAAACGGGACAATCGTAGACGATTTCCTTTTCAGCGCCGCCGGTCGAGCGGGGCAGATCCTCCAGGGTTTTGAGTACGGGCCGCAGATAGATAATGGGCAAGGTGTCAAAGAGGATTTTCGAGAAGGATTCATCCAACTCCTTGGTCTTGCGATTCCAGCGAGCACCCTCAACGAAGATGCCCTGGGAGCAAGGAAAGGAAATTAATTTCAAGATAAATGTCACTATAAAACTATGTCAAAATTAATTAAATTAAATTAAAAATAATATTATAGAAGTAATTAATTATAATATAATGTATGGGTTTAATACGCGTTTAAATAAAAACTATAAAAAACAGTACTTCTACGAAGCTCAAATAAAATATATCAAACATATTAATGAGACTATAAGAAGACTTTAAAATTAAGAAATAAAATGGGTTTAATCACTAAAACGGTGCCCAATAATTAATGAGTTCTATAAAGTAGTCTGTCTTACTTCGATAAACTTGGTCTCATCATTGACCTCTTTTTGTTCCTGTTGCGTGTGTTTTGAGTGTGGGAATGATTTTAATAAGAAACTCGTTTTCATTTAGCAGAGTTCTAGTCGTGTTTTTTTGTGGCCAGCTTTTTAATAACCTGGCTAATAAACTCACCCGGATGTAGGCGCCCAACTCGGGGGTCTGGGGGACCGTCGTCTCGTGTTTGGTCACAGCAAACTCGATCAAGATCATGTCAATTTGGAAGCGATTCTTGCGAGAGTAATTCTGCAGGACGCCCGTGATAAAGGACTGGGTGAAATAGAAGCCGGAGATCCAATAAACCATCGGTTCGCCCTTGTCTATCCACTCCTGGAAGAAGGCCAGCCTGCGGGTGGGAAAGGGGTTGACAACGAGTTATCTTATTTTTCAATTTATTAATAAATATTAAACATGCGACAACAATGGGAATGGGCAAATGGCACCGGCACCGGCACCGGCACGAGCATGGGCGAGCACACAAAGCATTTGGCAGGAGCCGGAGCAGGAGCAGCACACACAAACAGCATCGTCCTTTGATGTCAAAAGCAAATAAGATTTTTGCCATGAATGGCAGTGGCAGTGGCAACCACAGAAGGAAGAGCATCGGATGTGTGTGCCGTATACATTTATTATATTTGCACAATTGAGGCAAAGAACGAAAAGAACCTAAGGCGAAGGAGTAGCATGAGCAGGGGCACACGCGGCGCATTACAGGCAACTTGGGCTTCAGCTTCTGCTCAATACAATTCCATTGATGATGGCCGTCCAAATGTCTGGGAATACTACATATACCAGACATGCACTTGGGGGAAAATATTGTGTCTTCATTCTACGAATAACTATCTCTACATTTTAAGTGGAACCTTCTATTCTATTATATCTTTTCCCAGAAAACCTATTGCTTCGTAGCAGTGTAATCCTCATGAATGCAACAAAGGACAGCAAAGGAACTCACCGGGCCAGAAGGTCGCTCACGTAGCTGCCCAATGGCTTGAGCGAGGGATAGCTTTTCTTCAGCCAGTCCGCCGGCAGCTTGCCAATGACCATCGAGGCGTGTGTTCGCTCCAGCTCGGGTATCATGGCAATCTGTCCCACCACCGCTTTGCTCACATTCACCAGACTCTTGCGAATGTACGAGAGCAGGCGGTTGAAGCGTATTAGCTCTTGGCGCAGCACTGTGTTCATCGAATTGGTATAGATCACGGGATATACCTTGGACACCTCGTCTATATCGAATTCTTCGGGCAGCTGGCTCAGCACCTGCTTGCAAATGGCAATGGCTGGATCTTCCTTCGCGCCGCCCACCGAACTGGCCTTCACCGAGGCCATCAAATCGGTTTGGGTGAGCAAGACGCCGCTGATGAGCTGTTGGTGACCATGAATGAATACATTAGATGAAGGTTAAAGTAAAGTTGGAAAGAAAAGGGTCTACGTACCGCATTGGTTTCCTTGACATTGCGATTGATATCCGCATTTTCATGCAATCCATAGACCTCGGGCTGGGGACTCAGCGGGAAACTAGACACATACTCGATGGAGTTGAGGCGCGTGGGACTCACGGGCACCAAATAATTGCCAGATTGAGACAGGGCATAACTAAGGGAGTAATGTGGGTTAGTCTAAGCTTAAAGAACAGACTTTTTACGCACTTATCCTCCTCAATGGTCTTGGGATTGTATATCATGTTGAGCAGCGACAGGATAAGACGACGATCTTTATCGTCTGTGACACGACCGCCATAGTTGCACTCGCCCGTGAGGTAAACATGGCCCCGGAAGGGAATACTCTGGCTCTGGTTAATAAACATCTTTAGCTGCAATAGAGAAATCCTAAAAGACAACAAATATTTAATATATTCTTGAACCAAATGAATCGTAATTAAAACTTACTTCAAGTCCGACTCATTGAACTCGTAGGGAATGTTCCAGCCCAGGGGACCGAACTCGCGACGCTCCTGGACGACGGCATGGAAGAAGACCAGAGCGAAAACGCCGCGCAGCCAGCACTTGTTCGCACTGTCCGAAAAGAGGAAGGCATTGGTGAAGAACTTGTCCCGCATCAACGGGTCCGAGGTGAAGGAGCGATGCATATTGGCCCGCAGACCCTTCGGCGGTTCGTTCGTCATCTTCACCGAGTTCTGCAGTACGGAGACCGGGAAGACGGCGCTGGGGTAGGAAGTGCACCACAGCCGGTAGTCGTGGTTGGCGCCATCCGTTAGCGTGGTGTCATTGCAGATCCGCTCCAGGTCGCCCATCCAACTGAAGGCGACGTGACAGTTCTGCAGCACCACCCACTGGCCGTGGCGGGCGGCCTCCTGGATCATCTTCTCCGCCCGCGGCCCCTGGCCCTGACCCAGCGAGATGGTTTTCAATCTGTTCGGAGCGGGATATGTGCTTAGCATAAATTTCTTTAAAGAGATAGCAGCGGCAGCAGCCGCAACTCTGACTCCGAGGGATGGGTGCCCAGAGGTTGGAGGAGGGGACACATATATCGACAAGGCGCACATGTCGCGCTTAATCGAAAACATGCCACCACCGCCACCACGAGCATCCAGCATCCAGCACCCAGCACCCAGCACCATCAGCATCACCAGCGGCTGCTTCACCCACCCGTGGACACGGACACGGAAATATGAGGCACTCTCGTTAATTAACTTACTTGTCGTACATGTTGCGTTGTTTGGCGAACATGAAGAGACTGGCCATGGGATCCGATCCGGGCGAGAGCAGGAACACCAGCGGAATTTTCGGCGAGCTGTCCGCGAACGAGGCCGCCAAATCGAAGGGTGGCGGCTCCACAAACGAGCGGTCCAGGTTGCGCGTAATGAAAGCCTGACAAACCGGAGGATATTAAATGTACGCCGCCAGGTGGGGAAAAGCACCACTCAACTTACCCTCACGGCGGGCACCAGCTTGTCCGGACGCAGGGCCTTGAGGACGATCAGGTAGAGCATGTCATTTACCGTATCGTGCGGTGCCGGCAGCGGCTTTTCCCCCGGATTGCTCAAGTCGTAGAAATTGTGCCAATCTTCCGCATGCTGTTCCATCATTTTTGGCAGATCCTTGAGGCTTCGCAGTGTAATGGAGGATAAAGGAAAATTATAAAAGATTAATCGGGGAGAACTTTATTCTTACCCGTCAAGATCCGAGGCCTTGCAGATAGTCGCCCAGGATTTATCGGGCAGCCATGCTCCCAAAGGATTCGGTGGTATGCTCTTGTAGCCAATGCCACCAGTGAGGAAGAACAGCAAGGCGGCCTTTTCCACGCGCCCTTGCGATACCAGTATACCCAGGCACATGACCAGCGAAATGACCAACTTGTCCTTCTCGAACAGCGAGCGGCACACATTCGTGTATATCGACTTGGTGAAGTAATCATTTAGGTTCTTCAAGCGCTCCACCAACGTGTCCGACTTGGGTGCCTTAAGGATCGTGTTTACGAATAGATTGAGGAACCACGAGAGGGAATATTGATACATGGGATCCACGTTGGCCAGCTCACTGATGCAGAAGAACAAGATAGCCGAGTGCTTGGATACTGGTATATACTGTTGACGGGCGGCGTCTATCTCGATTTCGGTTGCCACAGCTATCACCTGCTTCTCCTGGATGTCCTCCGAGAGAATCTTACTGGACGACAGTATGTTTATGGCGTTTTCGTCCTCCAGTACATTGCCCTCGGAGGTGGAGAGAACCTGGGAAGGACATAGAGGTAGTAATTGAGGGAAAATGTAAAGAATTAGGCAAGTAAATCAATACGAAACAAGAAAGAAGCTAACTTCAGGAAACTGAAACTTCTAAACTCTTCCAGTGAAAATGCATCATAACTGAGCCATAAAGTCATTAATTTTCAATCGAAAAGCATTTTTGTGTTAATTTTTATCAGGTTTGCAAATCTGCATACTTAATTTTAAATTTTTAAATATTAAAATTTTTATCAAAATTAAAAAAAAATAAGTTTTTACCGGACATAGCTGATTTTAACTTAAAAAATTTCAAAAATTTATTTTTTACCGAACATGGCTAGAACGATTCAGCTGTTAATGCTGATCTATAATATATATGGTTTATAGGGTTGGAAATGATTCCTTCATAGCGAAATAAGCTTCTGACTAAAATTAGAATACCATTATTTTAGTTGATATTTATCTGCATTTTTGTATGACAATTTTTCTGAGAAATCCGATTTTAAAAAACTCATAACTAAGCCAAAAATTGATTGATATTAATTCGGAAAGCAGGTCTATGCTAGTTTTTAAACGAAAAACAAATCTGCATACTCAGTTTATGAAGTTAAAAATTTAAATTTTTTTGTAAATTTTTTACAATTTTTAAGATGTAATCCCCTAAAAAATGTTTAAAAATTCTCAAAAATTTATTTTTTACCGGACATGGCTAGAACGATTCAGCTGTTAATGCTGATCAATAATATATATGGTTTATAGGGTTGGAAATGATTCCTTCATAGCGAAAAAAGCTTCTGACTAAAATTATAATACCATTATTTTAGTTGATATTTATCTATATTTTTATATGACAATTTTTCCGACAAATCCGAGTTTAAAAAACTCATAACTAAGCCAAAAATAGATTAATTTCAATTCGGAAAGCAGGACTCTGCTAGTTTTAAGAAGGAAAACAAATCTGCATACTCAGTTTATAAAGTTAAAAATTTCCATTTTTTGTCAACTTTTGACAATTTTAACGATGTAACGCCTTATAAAATTTCGAAAAAATTTCAAAATTTTATTTTTTACCGGACATGGCTAGATCGATTCAGCTGTTAATGCTGATCAAGAATATATATGGTTTATAGGGTTGGAAATGATTCCTTCATAGCGAAATAAGCTTCTGACTAAAATTATAATACCCTGTATGGGTATAATGCCTATGCGCTATTGAATATAGTTAAGTTTTATATATCATTATTTAACGATTAAATGTTAAAATATCAACAGCTTTTTCAGTTAAGTTTAGATGATATAAATAAAGGCAGGAAAGCTAGAAATAAAGATGATTAATTTTTCTCTGATTAACCCAAAAATAAACCTCTTAGGTAAGTATATATATATATTTCTATTCATACGTTCGAGCCACCGTTTAAAAAAATAACGTTTTGGATGCTAATGCCACGCTGGTAAGCTTTTGCTTCCAGTTAATTGAATTGTCATTGGCCAGGCACAAAAGCATAAATTGCTAGCCTGGCTCTCTAATTGAATCTGCAGAGCCAGAGCCGCAGACGGAGCCAGGAGCAGAGCCAGCGGAATGGAATGGAAACTAGCGAAGCGCTCAAAGAGTATGCGATGAAATATAAAAACATTTATTATGCCACAAGCACGGAGTGGAAAGAGAGACGGGCCTTACCTCTAATATCTTGGATTCGATGGTGTACAATGCATCACGATTCCTTGCGGACTCAATAATCAATTGTTCCTTCTTCTCTTGCAAATCGGGACGCTCGTGAGCCACCACAATCGCCAGCAATTGTTCGCGTAATCCCTGTTCCGTTATCATGAAATTTAATACTGTTACCTAAACAGAGAGAAAGGAGAAGGCAGGACGACAGGATCAGTGATGATGATGGTGGTGGTCTTAGCTTCGAGTATGGCACGTAGAATGGAAAGAAAACTCAAAATAAACACACAATGTGCCACAAAAAAAGAGGAACGGGTAAGGGGGGATGGCTAAAATAGAGATGGTTAAAGGAAAACTGCTGACAACAGTTGCAGCATAAAAAGCGATGGCAAACGGCAGCAGGAGCAGGAGCGAAAAGCTGGAAAAATTTTATAAACACGCCGTGCAGCAGGAGCCAGAGCAGCGCCGCTGGCTGCGGGATTGGGATAGATGTCCTCGATGTCGAGGCTTTGGATGCTATGCTAGTTATGCACAGCCACCTCGCACGTACATCAGCACCACCCTCACTGCACCTCGCACCTCGTGTCCTCCACATCATCGTCAATGCCAACGAAAATTTGCATATTTCCAGCGCCGGCTGCGGTGCTGCTGCATCGCATCCTCCTCCAAATATCAATTTAAGTTGGTCGTTTTATTACACAACTAACGTCATCATTGCCACAGACTGCAGGAGCAACTAGAGCCTGTTCTGGTCTCCATTGGAGTTCGCACTGTGCTACTTACCATAACCATCACTTCCGGCGGATAACGCGGATTGCGGAGACAGGTCGTTATGTAAAGACGAAACTCGGGATTGTATTCTATCATTTGGTCGCCACTTTTGATGAACACTCCGCCCTTATGCTTTATGATGTTCTTCTCCAAAATGGGCGTCAAATTCGAATCAAGTTTCTCACCTGGAAGATGCAAGGGGTTTTATTTGGAGTCTGGGATAGGGTTATACCCAAAGCTAGGTGAGACTTACCGACATTCTCTATGAGGACTGGCTGACCAAAAGTAATGGCCAACTCCAGCACCTGCATATAGTTGGCATCGCTCTGTTTGATAACCTTCAGGTTGTTGTTCTTCTCCATATTCTTGATCCATTTATTTGCTTGAACTGTGGAGGGTTTATGAAAAGATTTTAAGATATAGAAAACAAAAAATCAATATTAACCACTCACCCTGCGGATCGATCAGCAACGAATACCGACTGGAGTTGGTCACAATGATGCCATTCTCCACGGAGAAGTTATCCGCAGGTAGACCGGCCAGTGACCAGGCCCGGATCGTCATCGGATTGCCCAGAGTGGTGGCCAGTGAGAAGGTCTCGCTGCAGGGAATGTGCTTGCGCAGGCACAGGGCATTCCAGTCGTCCAGGATATTGACGCGGTACTGCAAACAGAGCGGGCCATTTCAGACGGGGATTATAGGCCATGATTCGGGTAAATGTTAACATGTCAACATTGGCGCTAACTAAATTTGAGTTAAGCTCGCCATAAAGGAAATGCAGAAAATGTCCTGTCAGCCATCTCTAAGCGCGGACAAATTGAAAAAGAGACCACAACAAAAGGAGTATGGCAAAAAATCAGAGCGTGGCAGGGAGAGGAAAAGCGAGGAAAATCAATGCCACGTGCTCGTGCATATTAAAAACCTTTATGGAAAAGTTTCCGGACTGAGGACATGGCCATTAGCTGTCATCGCAGGACATGGACACGGACATACATGTGTAAGAGGACGAGCAACACCCGCGACTCACCTCCGTGGTGAAGTATCCCAGATAAGCGGTGCACCCGCCGGCTAGCAGGACGTCGCCCACAATGTTGCTAATGGATTCGTGAAGATTCTTGGCTGCCTCCGACCATCGCGTCTTCTCACCACCCAGTCCACCCAACAGCTTTTCAGCTCTGTGAAAAAAATAGATGGCAGAAAGATTAGATTAAAGGCCATTTACCCAATGGTCCTCCATTCCATTCCCAGCACCTGTTCAGTTTTTTCTCGCAGTTGTCGATTTCGTCCTCGAGACGTTTCTTCTCTCGCGATTTCTCCGCAAAGAAATCGTTGAGCTTCTGCAGCTTGTCCAGGATCACTTGCAGCTCTGCCCGCTTGGCATTCAGCTTCTCCATCTGCTGGGAGAGCTCTCCTTCGGCCTCTGCCAGGGCAGCCTTCTTGGGCATCACAATGCGAGCCACCTTGTCGTAGACATCCATGGCACGTACCCAGCGGCAGATGCCCTCACAGGCCATGGAAGCGGCTTTGATCTTTTCGGGGACAAAGTCACGATCGGCTATGTACCTGTGGAGGGAGTAAATTTACGAAAAGGTTATTAATAAACTCTGAATAAACCACTCACTTCTCTCGAATCTTCTTGATAATGGCCGGTGGAATGTTATCTTTGTCGAAAGTCTTGAGTGAGTCCAAGAACTTCATGTCGCTGAGCATGCGCATCGATGGTCCCCAGTAATCCTCCACCATATGCCCGCTCGGGTCCGGTTTTCGATCTGGCTTCAGCCCTTAAGCACACACACCGCCTCCATGGTTAACTTGACGCCGTACGGCGGGTTCTTCATCGACTTGACTATGAAAATATCCGCTGGTTTTAGGGTATTCAACGCCTCCAGGGCCGCCTCCATGGCGGGAATGGCCTCGGCCAGGTCCGTCTCGCAATCGTCTTTGATAGCCTGGGCAGCAGCGGCGGCTTCATTTGCCGCCGCCTCATCGGCGCCCACCACCTCTTTCTTCTTTTCGGCCTCGGCCGTCTCCCGTTCAATGTTCACCATGATGCGGTCCGTTTCCTCAGACAGCACCTTGAGCTTGGGCTGTAAATCGTACAGATTCGTCTGCATCTCACCCACCTGACCGGCGGCAAAGTCAAGTTTTTCCAGACCGGTGGTATAGCGATCCCTCAGCCGCGTGATCTCGTCCAGCTTGCGGCTGTAGAAGGTGCGGAACGCCTTGAGCAGCTCCAAATAGGCGGAAGGCGTTACATAGTTCCGCCTATTGAGCTCCAAGTAACACTTCTCGCTGGCATCCACAACGGACTTGTGAAAGTACATAACACAGTAGACCAGGTCCAACTCCAGTTGCGTCAGTTCCCTTTCTTCATCAATCGTATCGCGTCGCGCCCCTTCCTCCTGGTCCGGATCTCCGGGCTCTTTAACCACCTGCTGCTGCTGTTCCTCGTTCTCTTCGCCGTGCGGCCGGTTGAGATGCATGGAGTTCACGAAATACGTGCCCACGCGGTACAGGGCCTCCTCCGGCCAGGGCATGTACCAGTCGATGGTGCAGCAATTGATGAGCGAGGGATAGACCCGAATGCGTTCCTTGAAGGATTCGCCTATGGGCGAAAAAGCCAGAGCAATGTGAAGCTGCTCCCTGATGCGCTCTATGAAGTAGGCGTAGACCTCGCTGGGGAGTGTGTCCAGTACCTTGCCCTGCGATGAAGTTTAGGTATATAATAAGGTATTATTTAAGATTTAAATTTGATAGAATCTCTTTAGTATTTCAACCTTAAATTCAATTGAAACAGACACTCACCAATTGCTTGGCCACATTGGCCATATTCTCCATGATGCTCGCCTTGTCCTCCAGCTGATAGAGATTGGGCAAATCACCGGTATTAAGTATGCCATTGATATCCTCCACGTACCCCTCATCCGTTGCCTGAAAGGAGATAGGGGGAGAAAGACAGGGAATTCACAATTGTGCAATGTGCAAATCGGAGAGTGCAGTTCGAGTTGCAGTTTGAAGTGGAAATCGAAATGGAAGTTGGAGCTGAAGTTGAGCTATGCTGCTGGCCAAATGCATTTTTATTCATTCCCCCTTTCCTCAGAGAGTCCCTTGACCAGATCCCAGGGACATGCATTTTGCATTCGCCTAAGTGGCCCTGTCTCTGGACCCTGACGATGCAGGCGAAGGTAGAGGTACAGGTAGAGGTAAGATGGCTCTAAGCCGTAGCCAGCTCCCTGCTGGCCATTTCGGTGTAATTGTTAATTAATATCTGCATGGGGCTTTGTTGGCACAGGCAGACACAGACACACATAGAGAAAAACTAAGGGGAGATAAACCATTGATTGGAGGGACACTGAGCTTAAGAATCTCCTCCCTCATCGACAATACCTGAAAACATTCTAATGCATCGAAAAATTGTTTCTGACCAAAAGGGAAGGGGTTTTTCGATTGATTATGGCCTGGCCCGGAGCTCGGGATTCATCAGCAAACAGAATTAAAGCAGTTTTAATCCAGTCCAAATGGACTTCTTATGGCCTTGTATGGATTTCTAGTTTTTGGTCACGCTTCATGGTCAAATGGCGGACAAAGGGCGCATTATGCGAATGCGGAGCATTATATTGTGTAAGCACACCTGCATATTGTTTGCCATATATATATATATGTTGTATATCGATTGGAATCGGAATTTGGCCATGCTAATTTATTGATTAACATTTAATATGGATTTAAGCCCAACACAGAGACAGACTCCGACACCGCACGGCTTCCCTCGGCTGTTTTGGTGGTGATTTTCTGAAGCCCACTTCATTTGCCATAATTCGAGCTGCCTATGCAAATTACTGAGCAATAATCAAGTTAGTTGAACAATTAACCTAATTATAAATGCAAATTTTGGCAAAACAATGAGTGAGCTTCCGTATTGAAAACCGAATTTCAAGCCAAATTTAATTGTCCCTGTGACAAAAGTTCGTTTATTTAATCTCATCCTCCGCCGCTTGTCTCTGTGTGTAAGCTCTGTTTTATTTCCAAGACTAGTCCAAATTAATTTCAATTTAATTTACCAATTTACATACACAGATTAGTCAAGACTTTATGGGTTTGTTGTTCCCTGACGCGGCTCAGCCCTTGTCTGAGCTCTCGATTTACAGCCTTATTAAAAAGCCATTCTGATGGATTAGCATACGACCATTTGATCCGCTATCTCTTAACGAGAATTGGTTTCCAGTTAACACACTCACCTGCGCGTCCGAGAAGAGGAAGACGGTGTGGTTCAGGTTAAAGCTGGCCGACATTAAAATCTTCTTCAGATCGTCCCGCCAGTCCGTGATGGTGTAGGTCTTGGACACCTGCACGGTCATCAGACGACAGTCTGCTATATAGGCTGCCAGGCGACAGGAGCTGCGGCGTCCTGAACCGCCCATGCCCACCATAAGGATATTGCCACGCGGCATCTGCAGGACGCGGGAAACTCTGTTGGGAAAGCGGTATATATATAACTGTAGTTATTTAAATGGATTCAAAAAGCGATTTCTCACCTGCTCACATGCTCAATGGCAAAACGGAACATTACCAAATCCATGGGTGTGCTCGAGAAAGAGTTGTATTCCCTGAGATAGTACTTCATTAGCTTTTCCAGCTTCTCATAGGTCTCGCCCTCGTCATAGAACTTGGGCTCGGCATCCGGCTCCATGTAGTTGCCATAAAATAGATTCCGGAGATCGTTGTCCGTTAGCTTCTCGCCCGGCTCAATGCGTTCGGCAAAGGCCTGCTCCAACGGGAAGCGTAGATTTGACTTGCATGCATCTATGGCCATTGTAAGCAGGCGATCACGATCCCTATCATCCACCAAACTGAGAAAAAGAATGTTGTTCTTGTTAAAGTTCATAGTAGAAAGGGGGAGTGAGATCATACTCACCGGTCGTAGAAAACGCGATAAGTTTCATGGGCCCACAGGCGACCCAGCTTATCGGGGTCGGGCATCCGCTTGGCGGGCACCATCACGATGCCCTGGAAGACGCGTGTGATGTCGCGCAGGGAGAACGAATAGTGCGACTTGGCTGGCGTGGGCAGGAAGGTGCGAATCGCCTCCCGGTACACGCTGACCATGGCCTCCGCTAAGCCCTGCGAATGGGATAAATGGATGACATTCGTGGACCTTAATTCGAGGACAGTAAAAGCGAAAAACAGCCAACGGAGAGAGAGAGAGAGGTTTTGGGGAAATGAAGCTATAAAATACGCCATTTTAATTTTATTATGCGCCCAATGCTTGGATGTGAGCCAAGCACACATGGCGCATGGAAGGACTATTGACTCCACTGACCAGACAATCATCCTCCAGACTCGGTCTCTCATTTATACAGAGAACAAATTTGCTACTTAAAATACTCATCAAGCTCACATATTTTAAGGTTTTAATACAAGTTTAATGTTTAATTTGAATATTTATGAGCTTATCAGAGTTTCGCAAATGTATTTACCATAATAATATGTTAACATTTGTTAAATGGCTGTTTGCGAATATGTTTTAGTTTGTTTACTTATAATATATATTTTATAAAAAGAATACCAGTTTTTAAAATGAAACTGATGAATGGTTCTGCCTGCCTTTCTCTCTCAGTGTGTGTGTGCTGTTTGCTGTTGTTTTGGGGCTTAAAGAGAATGAGATACGTACGCGGGATAGCAGAGCCACCTTTTCCGGATAACCCTTGGCGAAGTGCCAATCACCAATCGTTGTGAATATTCGTATGATGGTCGAGTCCTCAAAGGAATCGACGGCCACCACGAACATGTGGCGATAGAGACGCGGAAAAATGAAGTTACTGCCGCCCAAAGTGCCCATGGCGCACATCAGTGTCTGGCCAACGATTCAGATTCAGGAGAAAAACGATAAGAAAAAAAAATGACAAGGGAAATATGAAAACTTCACAGATAACTCTAATGGCCAGTTTATGGACGGAATAAGTTGTCAACTGGCATACACATACCATGTCGACCAGCTCGATTTTGGTGGTGTCTGTTAGATCCGACCAATAGCCATGATCCAGCCAAGTTCGTAGCAGCTCCAGTGGTGCCTGGGAGCCATAAGTATCCTTCGAAGGCATGGCCACATCATCGCAGAACACAATGCACTGGGAATATATATCAGAAATTATTATATATAAAATAACTTTCTTTAAAAGACCCACCTTCTTGCCCAGCGAGGGACCAAAAACTCCCTTTCGCCGCCTGTCCAGCTTGCTCATGATCGTGTCCTGGACCATCTGGGCAGAGGTTCGAGCCGAGAAGTTGATGACATTGATCAGGTTGGCAAATTTGGGCATGGCTAGCAGGTTACTGGTAATGATGGCGCTCTTTCCAGTACCCGTGGGTCCGATCACCAGCATGGGGAAGGACTTGGCAATGCAGAATTCCTGCCAGTACGAAATGTAACCAGTCTCCTTTGTGGGCACGATCAGTTCACTGATCTGCGCATTCTCCGGGAAGTTGGTTGGCGTTCCCGAGCTTTCATCACCCTTCTGCCACGACCACCAGTTCTCGGCCTCATCGAATCGATAGTCCATGAAGATCATCTTCTCAGGGAACATCTGGCCGCGATTTAGCGAGAAGTACTTGGGCTTAGGGAAGTTGTCATTGGATCCATAGATAACCTTGCGCAGCAATGCGTCGAAGGTGCGCTGACCCTGACTCGACAATGCCGAGCAGTAAGCCCAGGCGAAGCAGAAAAGGAACATCTGCTGGAACCAGGCCTGGTTGAACTGCTTGTGCTTCTCCAGGAAGTGTAGGAAAAAGCGCGAGAAGGTCTGGTACTGATAGATTGGCGACAACTCCAGCATCTGCTTGCACTGCGGCAAGAACTCCAGGGCCGCCGGCACCAACCACTCGGTCATGTCCTCAAACAGCGTCATATAGATCTCGTTCAGACCCACCTTGTTCACCAGCACATTGGTGAAGCTCTTGTGGAAGGCCCGCCAACCCAGCTGCGCTGGCTCCATGTAGATCATACCGCAACGCGACACTGTGGCGGGAGATGCTTGCTCAAGATCCGCCGGCTCGAACATCATGTTCATCATCTTGGTCATTTGCATGATTTCGCCAGACATCAGGCACAGCTTCTTGTTGTCATCCAACACGGTATTGAGATTCTCAATCCACACTGCGTCCACGGGTCCGTCGAACATCACCCAGGCTCGCTCCCAACGCGGACCCTGCACCTGTTCGCGGAACGTCTTGGCCAGAACGCCGTCATACCACTCATGGGAGATAGGATCGAAGCGTCCATACAACTGGCCCATGGTTATGGCCTTCGGATTGATGATGCGGAACGTGACTGGGTACTCTTTGAGCGTGGCCTCCTCGTCGGTGGATACATTCCGCAAGGTCTGGGCCAGGACCTGCACAAAATGATTGCAATTAATTTAGTAATTTTAAGGATTAAATTGGAACAGATATTTCTACAATTAAAGTACAACCTCCCATTAAAACCTCATAATATTCGTTCTGATTTTAATATTTTTCTGTGCCAAGTGAGTCGTTTGTTAACTGATTAATTCCAGACCATTTAATTGGCTGGCCGGTGAAATTAATAAGCGTGGAGAGCGAATGGGATTCCGGAAATTCACGTATACTCACCTGATAGGCAGTAGTCTTGCCGCCCATCGAGGCACCGACTATCATGAGGCCGTGCCGCACCAGCAGCATCTCGTATATCTGCAGAATTTTCTCCAAATACCATGGCGTCGCCTGCAGGTTTCTCTCCGCCAGGTTGATGTGCAGCCACTTGAGTATGTCGCCGCGTTGCGGCTGTCCGGCGGATGGGAAGGGAGGTAAACAAGCGTAAATAAAATTTTTATATATGGAATATTGAAAAATTGGGGCAAATAAGAGTAAAATTCTGGCTGAAATGTCGCCATCGATGGCAGTTAATAAATTGAAGAAGTGCGTTTTTTAAATGCCAACGAAATATTCTTCACAATAAAAGGTATATGGAGTTTATTTTCTGAGTGGAAAATGAACTTAAGTCGCCTCAAATTTTAAAATCCTCTCAAGGACAAACGTTTATGTTTAAGATGTATCTTTAGTTCTATAGAGTATACCAATTTCACCATGTATGCACCTACAGTTTGTGTTAATTAATCATTAATCCATTATCGTATTAATTGGCGGCGCTTACAGGTCATTTCGCCCTGAAGAATGATAATTGATTCAAATAGATACTCACCATAGGCAGCTCCACACCGGGGAATAGATCCATGTAGATGCCAATGAACAGGGAAATGTCCTGCTCGAGGAATTTTGGCAAATTGACATCGACGATGGCACGCAGGACAATCTCCGGCTCCGGCAGGTCAACATATAAACGTCGCAGCGAGGCGGAGGCCAACAGGACGGACTTCACGGCGCGCATTCCTGGCAAATAAAAGTACAGTCATAAGTCGATAACAGTATATTAAAATATATAGATAACCATATATATAATTCCTAATAGAAAATTAAATATATATTGAAGTAAATTACTTTCTTATAGCTTCGTCTTACGATTACAAGTGACTCTCCTTGAAATCATTTCTAATTTGTTGTTAAAAACTTATACAAACTCCACGAAAAATGTTTTAAATTATAAATTGTATCCAAGTATTTGTTTTATAAACATTTCTAAATTATATTTTAAAGTCTCCACTGTGTTTTTGTAATACGGAAAACCATCGGAGACTGAGGGCATTAGCTTGGCAGTTATGCGAGCGCATAACTCAACCTGAAGTCGGCCGGTTTAGGTATTTGGCGATGCCATTGCTGGATGGCGTCGCAGAACCTGGCCAGGAGCGGACCGTGTTCCTCTACCTGGGAGGGAGTTACAACTTCGTGGCATTCTCGTGAGCCCTCCTCCCCCCCAGACCCTATCCCGGGCTTCATTATAGCGCCAGGGAAATGCTAAACTTTTCGCAACGTTGCAAAAACAGCTGGACAGGAGTCGCGGCGTAGGAGTTTGGACTAAATGTACAAATAGTTTTTATTATTACTTGGCAGAGCGGCAAATACACACACATCAACACACACGTGAACAATGTATGTGCGTGTGTCTGGGTGTGTTTGTGTCCATGTGCCATTTGTCTCTCACACACGCAACACAAAAGCGCAGCAGCAAACTTGCAAGAAAGTTTTTCAATTTAAACTCAAAATAAGATACTGATCAAATGTACTTTGCACATAAACTTGCACACACAGCTGCCTCTGCCTGCAATTGCAGCCAGCGGCTGGACAAAGATGCACACGCACACTGCCAGGAGCCGGGAGCTGGAAGGATCTCCTTTTGCCCATAGAAAAAAGAAAGCCCGGACGGAGTGGCAAACACAGACATGTTGTAATGTCATATGACATGTTACGTCGTAAAAAGGAGCAATATCTTTGCCTTGAAACAAGCAGAAAGATGGAGACAACGACGACGAGGACGACTACGACGAAGGAGCACACGCAAAAGGACATGAGACGTCCGGAAAGTTCCTGCTGCTCCGGCCAAAGTTGTGCTGCTGCACACAGATGGCACAAAAGAAAAAAAATACACGTGTTGTTGACTACTTTTGCGCCTTATTAGCCAGGTGGAGGTAATCCTAACCTTAGGACCTGTTCATTGTCTAATATCGGGTTTGTCCTGCTGATTTTTTATGCTGCAATTCAGGGAGGAGTAGTAACTCCAAATAAACTTAAATTAGTGGAAACTCTTTGATTATATTATATGAAACTTACCATAATCGTAGTGAGACTGCGATGACAACTGCTCGGAGCAGAGCTTATAGGCCTGAACGATCTTCTGCGAGAGATTCCTGGCCATGTCAAAGCCGTTGGAGTACAGTGTGATCTCACCAATCATGGCATAGTCCGGCACCATCATGGCCACTGTGCGGAACAGCACCTTCAGATTGTCGGGCAGCTCCGTTCGTCCTGCATAGCTGTTGTTGTTGGTAGTTGGAAGAAATGGAAATAAAAGCCATTGGGTATCCAGGCGGGATTAGAGCCCGTTGGGCAATCAAATTCATCAAAGTGCAAGTGCTAATGGCATAAATACTAAACACAGGCTATAGGCCTTCATGCCCCTCTGCTGGCTCTGGCTGCCAATAACCAATATGAGTGACTGCTCTTAAAACCGTCTGGTTGCGTGACAAATTGGCAGGGAGCAGGCATGCAACCGGGCAGCAGCAGAAAAAGCTGGCCAAAAAAAAAAAATCCAGCTAGCAGGATGTGTCTGCCTCCTGGCGATGGCAAAGCAAAGGCAAAGCAAAAGCGACATCCAATCGAAATTAAGACCTTCGCTGAACGGCGGCATACGGAGGAGGCGGAGAAGCAGGAGGCGGAAGAGCGGAGTTCCAGGAGGCAGACTGGGCTAATATGCATGTTTGTCGCAGCTGTTCCATATGCATGCCAAAGCAATAAATATCCCGATGGGAAAAATCTCCAATAACGCAATAACTACCAATATCGGGGAACGCACTGCGTCCACCTACCTCCGGAGGCTGATGGCTAATGGCCTCTCCGCCGTATCTCACTGCCTCCTGCCGTATGGTAGGCCGTATACGGGCTTACAAAGTAACTAAATGCATTTTCAAATGCCCAGACCCGGACCCGGCTCACCAAGTGAGCAAAAAAAATGCGATGCGTGAAACCGCAGCTGCTGTTTCCAGCACCCAGTACCCTGAACCCATCATCCCCAAAAGCATTTCTAGCCCAGCACTCACCCGGGATTCATGGTTATGAATATGTTACAACTCGGATCCAGTTTGAGCATTGTATCCTCGAAAAAGAATTTCACAACCTTGCGTCCGATGGCCCGCTGGATGGTCAGGATCTGTTGCGCCACCACGGAGAGCACCTCCAGTTCGATGCGATTGAACTCGTCGAAGCAGGCCCAGGCGCCCGATTGTGCCAAGCCCTGCGAAATGGAAGGGAAGATGGAGATGGAGATGGAGTAGTGGAGGCAGCAGTCAAAACAGCACAGCATAGAACACAATCCTGAACAGGACTGGAAGCTGAAAAAATAAAGCACACACACACACACACACACAAATAGAAACAGAAATTCCTGGACAAGAGTGCTAGGAACATACACACACTCCGGTTCGATGGGGGAAAAAGTGGAAAAAGCAAACAGCAGCATAAACATTATTTTCTCTTTCTCATCGCTTCTTGTCGGTTTCTGTTTTCAGTGTTCCGGGGCCTCCAACTACACAGATCCCGGGGTCGATATGGGGGCGGACGGGACAGAAGGACGGTCAGACGACCCTTTGATATGCTTCCTTTTGCATGTTGCAATAAATATGCTGTTTTATCCCAGCTGGAAACCAGCTTCGGCTCCCACACCCGCCCCAAACCCTTGGAGCAGCACAAATAGAACGCCAAAGCGGCATGCTGACCTGACTGCAAGTGCCATATGCCCGGGATCGATGCAGGAGTTTGGGGGGCGGACTCTATCAGTGATATCCTGTCCTTGTGAGCCACAGCCCACTGGCCATATGCACCATAGATACCACCATAGTTAGCCGAAGAAAAGGTTTTGATTTTGCCTAATTAGGGAAATTCTTTGTTCCGAACTGTTGCATCGCAAAACGGAGACTGAAAACGGAAGTGATGTATTTTAAGGTTGTTTTTCACTGTAACAGTTGTGGGGAAGAGCTAGAACTCAGTATTGTTTTAATAGAAAGAAAAGAGAAATTCTTTTTGTAAAGATAACAATGATTAGACTAAATACATATGAAGAAGCTCCTTCAGTGACAATTACCCGCTAACAATATAACAATAAACAAAGCTAAATGAATACAATTTAAGTGAAGTCTTTGATAAATCTAAACCCTAAAATACTATCCCAAAATACCTAATATATAGTCTGTTGCAACATATAACCCGTGGCCAAAAATAAGCACCAATCACCTATCGAAAAGAGGAACCTCTCTCTGGACAGCTGTTGCTCTTGCAGCCTCCACTTGGCCACCTCAGAGGTGGCTGTACGGCAAGTGGCCTCTGTTGGCCAGAGTCCTGCCGCAAGGACTTTTTCTGCCTCTGTCCACACAAAGGGCAAAACACATTCTGTTGCGCGTTCGCACGCTTTTTGTAGTCACTGTTGTCCCAACACCGATGCAATTGTTGTTGCTGCTTCTCCGCTTGGCCTGGCCATTGTACAATTAGCGCCTCTGTCCAGGTGCAGGTGCAGGCGTTCGGGGGCGATTCCTAGTGGTCCTGGCTGTGTCCGGATAGCGGAACTGTTGTGTTAGGAACTTGTTTGGCCAGCGCATCGCAACTGGATGGGGGCGCAGCAAAAAATAGAGGATGCTATGTGTGTCTTTGCACACTTTGAACTCCATTGAGAGAGACAGTGGTTTGGCATTGCCATTGGCACCGCCAATGATGGAGGAAGGATCTATGCAGGTGGTACCCATTAATGTCCCTGTGTTAAGGTGATGGCATATTGATTTTGAAATACTTTGATATATTTTAAAAGGAGTTTTACAACTTATTTAAGGAGAGATGAACATCATATATCTACGAGATGATAATATCATGAAAACACAAACAAAATTTCAAGGGACCCTTTATATACTTTATTAAAAGCATTTAACTGGCTCTTGATTAAATTCCTATTTTAAATAAAAACCTATTCCCAAAACCTAAACCTACAAAAAAAAAAAGCAACCTTCCCATCACTGCAATGCCATTTTGGATTTTTGCTGCTGCTGCTGCTCCTGTGATAACTTTTTGCCATCCTTTGGATGCGCCTTTTGTTCGAGGCGACAACCATTGTTGTGGCCATTTTATTTGAATTTAATTTATTTACGATTACTTCTCTCTCGCTGTGAAATTTCTGCTCTGGCATATTCCGCATACTTTGTCAATTGCAAATTATTTTATTGTCGCAACATTGTTTCACAGACATTCTGCCTTCCCCTCGCTTGACAACCACAAAAAAACATAGAAATCAAACCGCACCGAAAACCGGTGGAAGCTGGAAACTAACATCGTGTGCCAGAGATTTACGACTTCCTAGAGATTATTAGAACAAATGCCAATCCAGTTGGTGACAAAGCGCAGAACGACTTTCTAAAACCCGAACCAAAACGCGATGCCGAGACCCAAATTAAGCAATAAAAAGAATAGACAAATGTTCAGGGGGGCTCAAGTGGATACCAATCGCATAAATTCATTAATTTAAATTGAGCAACGCAGTGAAGCTCGAGCGATGGCAATTTATGGGCTCTCCTTAAAGTTGGGGTTTGGGTTAGGAGTAGTTCGAGTTGTCTTATTAATACAAATCCCATGCAAATGAACCTCCAGTTGATCTCCATAGACGTCGTCGTCTCCTCAACTCACCTCACCGCAATCGAATCCCTGCCTGGCCGTGTTTATGGCCGCTTCTCTCTGTTCCCTCTCTCTGTTTTAGGGGCTTAGGAACTATTATGCAATTAGCCGTGTGAGCGTATTAAGCGTATAGCGCGTATAGAGCGTATAGGCTCTATAGCAGCATAAATTTTACTACAGCATTTCAGCACCCACTTAAGATGTGCGTGCGTTGTGCGGGAGATAGGAGGAGTGCAGGAGGAGGAGAGGCTCCTCTCGGTTAACGACCTGCAAATAAAAATTTGCATAAACTTGAGTGGGAAAGCAGGTAAGTCGGCCTGTCGCTGGGCCATTACTTTCGCAAACTGACTAATTAGTCAACAGAATGACCAAGCCAGGGCCGAATGCGATTATTCCGAGAGCTGCATAAATTTCAATAAACATATATCGGAGAGAATGGGCCTGAGAATGGAAATGGAAGTGGCAGTGGGCTTGGAGAAGGGCTCCAGTGTGTCTGACATGCGGCAAATTAACCATTTAACCATGCTCTTCCACGCTATTGAAAGTCACGATTGTTGCGTGTGCCGCCGCATCAAGACAAGTTCTTTGCCAGATTAATGTGCTCCACTCGCCGCCGCTTTCGGGGCCATCAATTAGAAAGCCGGTCGGGCAGCAAATCGCAGACAGCACGACGACTACGCTCCTCCAACGTAGAATAGAATCTCTGATACGTATCTCTGTCTCTCTAATTAGGAACTCACCTTGAAGAACTTGCCCAGCGCCTTGTAGTCTAGTCCATCTGAGCAGTTGAAGACGACACACTTCTTGGCCACCGCCTTGGCCAGATCCTTGCAGGTCTCCGTTTTTCCCGTACCGGCAGGTCCTTCAGGAGCACCGCCCAGGCACAGCTTCAGGGCTCCCATCAAAGTGCTACATGGATCGGGAATAAGGGATGGAGAAAAAATACGAATTTATAGTATGAAGTATGGATTCAGCAACAAAGAGTTGATGGATGGTCCAAGAGCATGGGAATGGGCACGCTTTTAATATCTATTTTGCATTTTTTCATATTTCTCACGGCGGCAGCAGCCCAGTTTAAAAAATTGTCATTTATGGGTATCTTTTTTCTAGTATTTGCTGCCCATAAAATGTGGAAGCTCTTAGCGTTTTGGGGGGATTTGTGACTATGGTTTGGAATAGGTTTTGCTGGGACTTGTTGTGCAAGTATCAATGAACATTAAGTAACTATGATCAGTAAATAACTATAATCAGTCTATATCTATGAACATTAAATAACTATGATCAGTAAGTAACTCTGAACAGTAAGTAATTATGATAAGCAAGTACCTATGACCTACAAGTAACTATGAACAGTAAGTATCAATAAACATTAAGTAACTATGAGCAGTAATTAAGTATGAGCAGTAACTGAATCTGAACAGTAAGTATCTATGATCAGTAAGTATCTATGACCATTAAGTATGTATGATTAGTTACTAACTTTGAACACTAGTAAACAATGACTTGCAACTTTTGTAATACAACACATTCCTGAGACTTGGCCGGCAGCAGTCACTTCGTTCCGGGGATGTTAGAACGAGTTGAGAATCATATGTACAGATGTGCGAGATGTGTTTTGGAACAAGTTTAAGCTATTGGAATGAAACTATGGAGTTATTCTTCTATATTATTTTACAAGTATATAAATCGGAGCATGGCGAATCGGTGGACTATATATATAAATTTATATAGCTGACATAGGAACAATCGGATGATTTAGAGAACTCTGATCAGTAATTAACTATTAGCAGTAAGTAACTCTAAACCATGAGTATGTATGACCAGTAAGTAACTATGATCAGTAAATATCTATGAACACTAAGTAACTATAATCAGTAAATATCAATGAACATTAAGTAACTATGATCAGTAAGTATTTTTATGTATGATCTGTTACTAACTTTGAGCACTAGTAAACAATGACTTGCAACTTTTGTAACACAACACATTCCTGAGACTTGGCCGGTAGAAGTCACTTCGTTCCGGGGATGTTAGAACCAGTTGGGAATCATATGCACAGATGTGCGAGGTTTGTTTTGGAACAAATTTAAGAATTTAATGGAAATTATGGAGTTATTCGACTATATAATATTACTAGTATATAAGTCGGAGCATGGCGAATCGGTGGACTATATATATACATATATATAGCTGCCATAGGAACGATCGGAAAATTTCAAGATTTTAATTTTAAAATTAAGTAATATTTCAACAGTATAAATTATAATTTTCGTCCAAAGAGAGAACTACACAATTCGATCAAATCCTTTAGACAGTTTCCATTCATAAATTGCTTATTTTTAGCTGGTTGTTTTGCGAGTTCATATTTTTATCATATTGGCAGTGTCCCCACTTCGGTTTGCTTGTGCATATATTTTTTAGCTTTTCCGGGGCATAACCATACAAATATCTATATACACTCGGTTTCATTTTTTGTTTTCCTTTTTTAACTATCCATGCACGAGGCTCAGTGTTAGTGTGCCGCATGTGTGTGTGTGTGTGAAAAACTGTCCAACATTGATTTATTTGTTTAATATAAAAGTTTTATCGGAAACCCCATTAAAATGTCCTTTCTGCCGGCTTGCCAACGACGGCCTGCCAGCCGGCTACCAGTTTGTGTGTGTGTTGTGTTGTGTGTTTGTGTTAGTGTGTCCTTATTCCTTTAGTCCTGCCGTTGTTATTGTGTGTTTGTCGTAGGCAGCTTAAACATCAAAAAGGCTTTCAGCTCTCTTTTTGCGTATTTTGTTTGAAAAATGAAAATAAATTTAAAATGCAGCGAAATAAAATAAATATTTTCCCAATAAACGTGGCCAGGGCCAGGCTCTCCTCCTCTGACTTTTAGATGCAGCACAGAGGCGGCGAAGCGGAGGGGCAAACTCGCTGGCAACGGTTTGTCAATTAATATTTTCGGTATTCATACAGGGAAGCATGTGAGGACGTGGGATTTGTGCAAGATATATGGAGCAATAGTAGGAGTAATACGCACCGGTAGCAGCGATCGGTGAGGGGAGTGACCACCAGCCGGGGCAGGTTGCCTAGGTATTCCATGCCGTACTCAACATCTGTGACCACCATGCTAACGCATACCCAATCCTCGTTTTCTGGCCGGGAAAATATTCGTTTAAATATTGTAAATTATATCCGTAAGGTACACTTACTCTCGTTTACTTTCCAGTAGTAGCGCAGCTGGGAGATCCAATCGAAGTCCTGGATGTTGGACACATTCATGTCTGTCAAATATTTAACCACATCGCGATCTAAAGGTATACAGATTATATTTATTAAGAAATCAATCAACATTATTCATAATTTAACATATTTCTTTAAATCATAAAGCCTTAGTTTGTGGTTTAAATTTGAAATAAAAGTACTAAAGATTGTACTTATATTTCCCTTAGCTTCCCCCGCTCTACTCACCATGCACATCCAGGACAATCAGCGCCTCGACGGCAATCCTAACGCCCGCCTGCAGATCCGTGCGCACCAATTGCACCAGGTCGGCAATCTGCAGATTGGACTTCTCCAAATAAGCCGGCAGCTCCTTCGTCTCGATGGCCTCCTCCACCTGGCCGGGGAAAAAGTCAAGGAAAAGGCATAAGGCATAAAGTGTCTGAGAAACTGCAGCGGAGCGAACGCAAATAAAGAGCGAAATATGATTTTCAATTTCGCTGCGGCAGCAGCAAGCGAGGTTCTCTCAAAGTCAAAGCCCAAAAGGGAAACGCTCACAAAGGAGCCGCGGAGTGGTGGAGTGGCGGAATGCCGCAGGAAAAGAAGGCGCTGAACTCCAGCTAATCTCACTGTCAGAGGCACAACACAGAGTGCTTTCTCTGCTCCCCTGACAGCCAACTGATGGACATTTGTTGTCCAAGAGACGTTGACGACGACGCCCTTGCGGTTATCGTGGTTTTATGGCGGAGCAGGCTCACCTCGTAGGTCCAGGCCATGCAGGAAATGCCCTGCACCACCTGCCCGGGCCAGCTGACAACCCAGGTAATGCGTTCCACAACTGCGTAGTCCTCCCAGGCCTCGTGCATCTGTTCCTTAACGCTGTCCAACATCACCATCTCCACCTCTTTCAGCCAGATCTCCACCAGGCCCTGCAAAGCACGAAAAAATGTTTAATTTTAAAAAGTGGAGGACAGGAAAAGGAACCAAAGGCGATGATTTCCTTACATTGGCCAGCTGAGGATTGATTTTTCGCACCAGTGCCACGCGCTCCTCCTCGTCGCTAATCATCTCGGTGATCTCCATATTCTCGTCAAAGTTCAAAGTGCCAATCTGTAGAGGGATTTAATATTATAGCGCAGCCTCAATTTGGCTTTGAATTAAAGGGACTCACTCCTTCAAAGCACTTCCTCAAATGCGGTTGTACCCTCATCGGATCCTTGGTTTCTGATAGAATTTCCAGCAGTTCATCGTTGGACAAGAAGAAGAAGCGCGCAAAGAAAAGACGCTTCTGCTCCAGATACGTGTTCAGACCCTTCTGTACCGTCTCTAGATCCTCAATGGCCTTGGTGAAGATCTCCAGCATGTCCGGATAATCGGTGGCCGCCATCACATGTTGATCCTTCAGTGTATGCTTCATGATCTTACGCCACAGCTTGTCCACTGCCTTGAAGTTACGTCCCTCAAGCGGCATCTGTCGCATGATATCCTCGCTGCTGAAGATCGGCTCTAGGTACATCCAGGTGATCTGTACCTGCGTCCAGGCATCGATAATGTTCTGGATGAGCAGCAGACGAGCCTCCCAGTCATCTGCCTTGGACCCGAGGGCCACAATGAATGGCGAGCGCTTCATAGCCTGTGTTCGCATTATATGGTCATCCAGCAGCGTCTGAATATCATCCAGGCTGGCCAGGATGTGCGTGTCCGAGTCGCGATACTGCAGCACATCGAACATCACGTCCTTCCAGTCTGCCTGCATGATCCTCAGTCCATTATTCAAATCGTACTCCTTGCCAGCGGCATTCGCGATCTCCTCAAGCTGCGGCAAAATGCTCATAATATCCACATCGATCATGTCCTTAAGCGTGGGGAAGAGCTTCGGGTTGACCTTACGTCCCAGTATCTTTGATATCTGATCCCAGTGCCTCTTCTCCAAGCCATGCCTGCATATCGAGTCCAGCACGGGCAGATACACGCGGAACTTCTCGATCTTCATGCGCATCTGCTCGGCTGCTCGCTTGGCCACCGGATTGTAGGCCAGTTGCCGGGACAGCTTGTACATTATCTATGGAGAAGATAGGTAAGACATAGAGGTTAAAGTCATCTATGGAACCACTGCAAGTTTTAAGGTAATGCTGCTGAAATGCAATTAATTAGATGTTCTTTGATTGGATACCTTCTTTGCGAAAGAAATATATAGAAACACTGCAATGGGATTCCCTTTTATATGTCAAGGGACTTTAAAATCCTTACAAAAGAGGGTATTTATCGAGCTTCTTGAGCTTGTTGGCATTCTCTTAAGTTTATACATTTGGGAAAACATTTAGAGGAAAGAAGTCCCCTTGAAATATGAATTATTTCCCCCCATTGTCTTAGGGCAAAATATATAGAAAACTATTCAAAAACCTCTACAGTTAAAATAAATTCCATTTGCTAGAGGGTATTCTCAACTTCGTTATAGGATATTCCTACACTTTTTTTGGGGAACTGTTGTGTCCCCACTTTGCCGCTTCAGCTGTGCCGAAAAATTCAATTCAACTGACTTTCCCTTTGCGCCTTTGTGCTGGTTTTTTTTTTACTATTTTTGTTGTAGCTTCTTTTTTGCGTGGCTCCAAACGGCTTCCCAGCTGACCCCAGAGGGGTCTCCTCCGTTGCCAAATATGTTGGGCATTTTTTCCATGCATACTTTTCGGCTGCCAAGTGGAACTTTCTTTTTACAGCCAGTTGTTGGTTGTCCCTTGCTGACTACTACTACCAGGACTGGTGGCTACTACTATTGCCGCTCTAGGTGGCTTGAGGTTTTTAGTTGCATTTTAGTTGCTACATTGGCTTACAGACAGACACCGAACCGAACAGAGATCGAGCAGGAGGAGGACAAAGAGGAGCACTGGTAGAGGAGCCATGCATGGGCAGTTGAGCAGGAGAAATCCGACAACAGCTCAAACTTTGTCGGTCGTTGCTCGTTTTTATTTCCGCCAGCAAGGGGAGCTGCTGCTGCTGCTCCTCCGATGGTTGTGCCTGGGCCAGTGCTGGAATGACAACTTCCGACTTTGCAACTACTTACCTTGTGCATATTCTCCACTTGCTCCCGCACGCCATCCGCATTAAGGCATTCGAAGCGCTCGAACATCCTGAAAGCACCAGAGGAGAGATGTAAATAGAAATACACGAAAAAAGAAAGTTGGCCAGAAGGAGCATCAGGAGTAGGAGTAGGAGCAGGAGCGGCAGGAGTGGCCTCATCATAAGCGGACCACTCAACTGAATTTTCTGCTGGAATTCGCACTGGGGCTGGGAATTAAGTGAGGGGCCACTACGATTGGTATTGGGATTTGCGTGCAGCAATGTCAATGGAAACGACTGCCGGACCGGTGCCATTTCAATTTGGAATATTCCTTTACCGGCGCCCTCCCCCCCCCAGGAAGTGTCACACACTGCTGACTTCTCCTCTCTCTCCCATGCCCCTCAGGCTGACAGAAGTATAATTGCAAGGGGCTTAAGCGATGGCCCCCCTGCCTGCTTACCAAATGAGATAATCCTTTTCGAATTCGTACGACGTCTTCCACAGCTTCTCGATGGGCTCCATTTTCTCAATGATCTCAGCCAGCAGTGGAAAGGCGGATACATCGATTTGAAGCAGCGTCTCCTCCGTATTAATAGCCTTTGCCTCGCGGCTGAGATTCTATAGGGAAACCATATCTTAAAATCTCAATCTTGAAGCTTAAATAGCAGCAAATTAGAGGTAATCCCTCACCTCAATGGTGGTGAAGAGCAAATCGACCGTATCCACACGCTCCTTGAGCTCCTCCAGCGTGAGCACATCCCGGATTTCCCGTATGCGAAAGCCGTCCATCGTTCGCTTCTCCTGGGCCAGCAGCTTCTCGAACTCCATGCGACGCTCGCTGCATGAAACGGGATGGAAAGGAGAAGACAAAGAGATGTCGGCTTAGTATCTTCTGGGGATCTGTTTTCGGTTGTTCCGGGTCTAATCTGCATCACACACTTACCGCAGGGCCAGCTCCAGATTATCACGCACCACCGATAGACGGGCGGCGCTCAGATCCAGGACCTCCTCCAGTTCCCCGGGCAGTATGAATGTGCGCGAGTTGAGATGGAGCTCGTCGCCTGCGGATAAATGGGTGTGAGGGTCTACATGACTAGACGAGATGACTCTCGATTGTACGCACTGCTAATTAACTCCGCTTAACTCTTAATTAATTGGCTTGCGCTGGAGTCCTCCCTTTTTTCGGGACAAACTAATTAATTATTCGACTACCAGGACGAGTACAAGTGCGAGTAGGAGTATCTTTGTTCCCTGACAAGCTGTATCCGTGAGTATTTGGTGTGACAAAGCCACACACGACGGACGGACAGGCAAACAGACAGATATACATACAGATACATCTACAGCTACAGCTACAGATACAGATACGGATTCGGAGGGCCTGAAGCACACATTGTAGCTATTCGAAAGATACACACTCCCACACACAGATGACACTTGACGATAACTCGCTATTGTCTCTGGCGAAGCATCTGCACTTGCCGGTTGTCGGTTGTCAAAGCAACTTTCACACATTCATGAATTTGTTAAGCTCATTAAGTTGCATTTTCGGGGTTTTAGCGGAGCTCAATGTTTGGTGTCTCACCGCAAGTAATTATAAAACCAATTAGTAGACTCAGCTTGTTAGTTGAGGTTAATTATGTTAAGCGAGACTGCACTTCCTGCCTTCCTGCCGCCGCCCGTTCACTAGTCCCTTTCCTTTCCCTTTTCCTCCACAAACCAAACACTGTGGAAAGCAAACACACTAAATGCACAGAGAGAAAAATAATAAGGGGTCTGAGGGAGGAGATTATAAAGTTAAAATTGTGATCGTAGGTTCAACAGTCAAGAACCAATTTTGAACTCCTAGCCGGAACTAGAAGTTCTAAAATAAAGCTTTCCCGATTAAAGTTCTTTACACCAAATAAATAAATTGTGCACTTCAGACCCCATTATTTTTTGCCCTGTGTTTGCCTTGGTTTCGGCCAGAATCGAAGTAGAAAGAGCTCGACTGACCAGCTGCACAAACAGCGAAAGGGACAGGACGACGGACCGACGGGCAGGACATGCTCCTCCTGACCAAGCCAATTGCATCACTCACTGGACAGGTAGGTGTGTGTCAGCAGGAAGACGACGCGCTTCAACACGTTCTTGATTTCATCCTTGATGGCGAATATGCGCATCTCTCGGCACTCGTTGATGTAGTTCTGCAGGGCCACCACCTCGGGCGTCTCCTCCGGCCGCTCGCCGGCCTTCATCGACATCTCCTCCAGTTCCTCGCATATGCTGAAGTGGCAAAAGCAGAAAAAAATGAAACGAAATCAGGCATCGTGTGTGTATAGGAGAGTTATCTATGAGGAGTCACAGGCAGTCAGCATAAAAGTTAAGTGAAAGAGCAGCTCGCACTTCATTTAGCTGATGCAATCAGTGCCCCCCGCCGGCTCCCGCTTCTGGGCTACTTACGCTCGATTCTCGTTCCAATTGAGGGCTTTGTAAAAATCAATTATGAAATCGTAGATTTCGCGCACATACATCCGCAGCGATAGCTTCACGTGCCGATTATCCAGCATGAACAGGTTGAGCGGAATGAAATCGCGCAGATAATAGGTCGTATCGCTCACGGCCTGAAGTTTTTTCAGCAGCTCCTGGACGAGCTATAGGTTTGCATTCAGAGATGGAACGTGGAGAAAGAGGGGATTTATTAAGGGGTTTTCTATTGCAACATTTCTAGTTCTAATTCTATTCGTAAATTTAAAACCACCGAATAAACTCTCTATTTGAAGGCATTTTAAATAGAAATATATCCTTTACTTTGTACTCTTATTTTAACACATTCAATTAATGTTCAGTTGAATTCATTTTGTAATTATATTACAACTGAAATGTATAGGATTTTCTACAGACTGTATAATCAATTTGTGAAGTTTTGCATTCGGTAAATTAAATGTATTAAATTAACTAGTGAAATGGAATTAAAGCTACAAAATCATTTAAACTCCTTAACAAAATGGAAATGGTAATTAATATAGACTATATTTTGGTTATAAAACCATATCAAATATCAACAAATGAACATGTTTACAGAGAACCTCAATCGCACTGCTTGTTGTTTTCTAATTAGGATTTTGCAATGCTGGAAATCGAACATGCTGAGTCCCTTGGAGGCTGGGAACCGACCCCTTTTCAATACACATATGCCGCCGCCACTGCATACGATATGGAAGCTGGTTGCATTTCATGCATCGACAGGCAGCAGGCAGCATACGCAGTCGGAAGTAATTTTTATTTTATATAAATTGCACAAAAAAAGCCAAGCCAAACCGAATCGAATCGAACGAATCGAGTGAGGGAAGAGAGGAAATTGCTGGTCGTTTCATAAAACTTAATGAATGCGAACTGAAAAGTTTCAGTGGAACGGCGGGGAGTGGCAACTATACCGGGTTTGAGGTGACGTTCGGCGTAAATTGAGCGTATGAGTTGGGCAAGTACGGTGACATGACGAGAATCGCACAATCAACAGGCTGCGAAGCCAAACAGCGTCTAATTAAACATTGCACATATCCAACAAACTGTCAGAAATCAACAACAGGCGATGGGAAATCGGTAGGAGGAGCACTGTTTGGGGCGGAGCCCTGTTTTGCAGGCGCTATAATCCGGATTCAGACAAGGTGGAACTTGTCAAATTACACAAATTGTCAGGCACTTTGCCAGCAGTAGCACTCCCTCTCTACCAACCCTGTCAGTTGGTCTGTCTGTCGTCTGTCAGCGGTCTATTAATATTGCATAATGAAATTTTATGTTAATTCTACGCATCATTGCGCGTAATCAAATCGAAATAAATAATTAAATCCCATTTCAAGGCGAGACGCAGCCAAAGCCCGCCGAGCCTCAGGGGCTCACTCACTCACCCCCAATTCGGGCAGGATGTTTTCCGTCCAGACCTTCTCCACCAGCGGCATGATCAACCTCTGGAAAAGTCCAAAGTAGTACTTGTAGATGGGCTTCAGATACACATGCACTCCACGCCAGTTGCACCTGACGATCTGTTCAACTTTATCGCAGAGCTCAACAAAGTCCGTGTGGTCTTCGTCGATATAGTAAAGGAATCCCTGCGTTTCGGGGTCTATATTTTGTGTAAATTCACTAATTCAATTACATTTATCATTATAATTCTTAAGAGTGCAACTTACCACCTCCGGACATGATGTACTCGAGGCGGGGAATGTCTTGCCCCACCGCCAAGATGCTCTTAAAGTGCGCGACAAAAAGGCGCGGCAGTTCCTGCATATAAGGATATATGTACAGCTTGTGGGTGTGATCCAATTCAAACTGAGCCACATCATCCAAGTCGGGAAGCTGCAGAGAGAGTTCATAAATAAATAATTACTTTCAAGGATATACATATATCACTTACATTCTCTGAAAACACATTGGTCTGCGGCTGTTGGAAGGGATCAGCATCGTCATCATCGAAAACATATATATTTGTGGCTGGCCTAATCCCCGGTCCCATGTCTATGGGGTCATGGTCGAAATGAGCTCCCACCACCGAGGCTATCAGTGTCATCAGGGGAATCCGCTTGAGCTTCGAATCGAACATGGAGTACTGGTCGATGCTGTTGCCATCCTTATACGAACACAGAACCTTAAACAGATAGTTGATGCTCTTGCTGATCAGACTTTGGAGGTTGCGCGACATCGCCGAGTGGATGCAGCGAAAGAGTATGGCCGCCCGGCCGCCATACTTGCCCGACATGGGAACCAAGTCTTTCCAGGTGCCACGCATCTCGTTCACTAAATCAGCGCAGCGTGGCAGCCAATCAGTGAGGAGTAACTATCGGAGGGATCGGTTATTTTATACAGGTGTTATGTTAGTATGATTATCTTTACTTACATCGCGAACTTCGGCACAACTCTTTTGGATAAAGGACTTCACAGTGTCTGCGTCCAGGGGCCGCTGAGCCAGCAGCAGCTGTCCTAGGTCCACCACTACCAGATCTGCATAAAGATCATTCCAGAGTCGGTTCACAGCCTGAACAACGGGATGTGTTATCATGAGAACCTCGCCAATGCGACTCTTGGCAAGCAATAGATTCGATCGCCAGGGCACAGGCTGACTGTTGGGGAAAGTGGGAAAGGCAGGGGGTTCCGGCTCCAGCTGCAGCCGCTTTCGCTCCATATTGGAACTGCCAAGTAATTGAGATAAGAAAGACAAGGGGTAATGTATCCAAAAATCAAAAAAATCTATCTCTCACCTTAGGAGATAGTTCAGAAAGGCGCGCTTAACGTAGTGACGAAAATCCTCCTGCAAATCAATGAGGCACACGATGATGAGAATGGCAAAGCTCTGATGCACGCCACGGTCGCCAACGAACAGATAATCCATTAATATAACTTCTGGCGGCAGTTTGGGCCAATCTTTCTGTAATGAGTTGATTAGACACAAGGAATAAACGAGGAGTGATGGTGGTTCAGTGGTGAAAAGGGGACGACAGGTGGCATAAACTTTGCTGGCGCTCCTCCGGGCGATTTCAACTAGTTTTTGGGGTGGCCCAACTCGGCAGGAGGAGGAGTTGGAGGTGGAGTTAACATGGAACATCTTCAGCTGCTCATTAAGCCGCCTTTGCCGGCACTGATTTGCCGGTGCTGATGGCAAGTGCTTGAGCTTAAATCCCTGCCAAAGTTTGTTTGGCGCTCACGTCAAAACATCAACACGCGCCCCGTCACTTGTCATCCCAGCAATACCTGCTCCTCCTCCTCCATCCATACCCAGGGCAATCTTTGGGAGCATGTTTAATATGCTCGCACTGCCGGCAAACTTTTTCGCAAAACTTCCGCCAAATTCTGATCCAGCTTCAGATGAGCGCCAGTTAAGTTTACTAATAATGTCGACGCTCTGACTCAGACAGACTGAAACTCTTCCTATCCAAAGGAGCTGTGTATGTTATATTCTTGAATATTTAAGACAAATCGGGAATATGAAACTTATATGAAACAAATAGCGTGCACAGAGCAAATTTTAAGCAAAACAAAGGGCTTAAGATTTTAAATCGGAAATTGGGAATAACAAAAGTGCATTTTTGCTGCTATTTATGGACTATTAAACATAAATTTGTAGAAAGGACTCACCTCCTCCTGTAGTATAAACCTGTAGGCATCCTTTAGCATAGCCCTGCGGGGATCGATGCGCCTGAAGGCTCTGCGTATCAGATGCGAAGGATAGGTTGCCAGCTGCACTATGGACATCTGTAAAGGAGGTAAGGAGGATGATGACAAGGTTATATATAACCATTAAACGGGGTGTGATTCACGGCACACCCAAGCGGTTTTATTTTATTTTATTTCCCGTTTTTTTTTTAACAACTAATCACGTTATTCATAACTCTGACCACGCCCCCAAGACCATAATATTTACGAGGTATGAATTATATAATTTTTATAAGCACGTTCCCCCAAAGCCAACGCAGCTTAATTTACTCGCACGCTCACGCACACATGTTTACTTTGTATGGAGTTTATTATTATCATTTTTTATGTACGCCTCGGACACGGAGAGGGGACACAGATATGGCTACAGACACGGACATGGACAAGAGAGCAGGAGCAGGAGCAGAAGCTGAAGGATGAGCGTGAGCAGAAGCGAGAGCGTCGGAGGAGTAAACGATAAAATTTATTTACGCCCGTCGCTGGTGCTCACTTTTGATGGGTTTTTTATGGTCTTACGGTCAGGGAGTCATTGCGGCTGGGTATTTGACTTTCATTTTTCATTCCCCCGACTCCCTTCGCTTAGCATATGTTTGGTCAGTTGCATAATTCAGAATCGCTTTGCGACACGTGGACCAGGACCACCTGGAGCAGTATGTTACACCCATAACAGACTATACCCGGCGGGACTTACGCTTTTAAGCAAACACTGGTAGCGCTTTTGTATCTTTGGGGTAAAAACAGCCTCGGCTTCTGAGCGCTCTTTCTGGTAAATCGCCAGCTTCCTTTCCTTCTGATCCTCGGGATCCTCGGGCAGCAGAGGCACCAGATACTGAACACGTCTGCCATAAGGGATAATCGATATTAATTTTATGTCAACTGGTCATTGGGTTACACTCACGTGGATTCCATTTTCCTAAGACAGAGGAGGAACTTCTTATTCGATGAAAAATCCCTTCGGTTGAAAAACTTGTTGCTATCAGCGCAAGGATTCTTTTTCTAAATATAAATGATATACGATTTGAATTGTAAAGTAGAGTAAAACTTAGAGAAGAAAAAAGCCAAACTCACCGTTTCAATAAATAACGCGGATTTGGCCTTACATTGAGACCGCTTTTTGACAGTATTGATAAGTCCGTGGCCTATCGTTTGCTGGGCTTCCTCGAGCACAGGCTCAATCAGTTCATCAATTATCTTGCCCACTCGTATTAGTTCGTTCCGGCATTCTGTGAGAAATAATTAAAAAAGATTTATATATTTACTAGCTCTTAATGAGATAATTAAAGGATAATTGGACAAACTCTTACCCTGTGGAGTTCGGAATGCATAGTGATCCCCGACCGTAAACTTTTTCTTCTTGCGAACAGGCTGCAGATTATTGACTCGCAGATGCCGGGCCGTGGGTGTTCTATAGGCTCCGATCAGTTCCGATGGCGATCCGTGCTGGCGCCGGAGCTGGTTGGTCCACAGGGAGGAGCTGGTGCCGCAGCCGGGGTAGAAGACTCGCACACGCCGTTGGCAGTACATGTCCAGCAGCTGGCTGGTCATTTCATAGATTTCCTGCTCGCTGGGCCGCACTGTCAATCGGTTCGAGAGGGTGTCAAATTTTTAATAATGTACGCTGAGTAAATATGAACATTTTATTTATTACCGCCAGTCATCCATTTGTCAATCCAGGGAAATTGATTACAAGCTGCAAGCAAAAAAGCAGAACAAACAAATAAAAAGCAAACCAATGGTAAAAAATAATGCGAAAAAAATGAAATTGAAAATCGCATTTAATATTTGTCCACGAACTCAATATGTGGGAGGGGGAGTGTGTGACATGTGAGTCTGTCTGCACTTTGCAAATTTGATTTTTTTCGGATGACTTTCACCTCTCGCACTGAGAGGAGTCGTGCAAATAAGCTTGTTTGTGCAACATGAAATTGTTTTAAATAAAAGTCACACAGCGGCAAAGTTCGATTTTTAAATGATTAAACTGAAATTAATTTCCATTTGGAGCCTTTACAAAGGAAATTCCCCCAGGGGGAGGTGTGGGCAGTCCAATGCAGTGTTTCATTGCTTTATTTGTTAGATTTTCATGCTAATGTCTATCGGCAACACATGGCTTTTACGCTATTGTGTAACCCGGATCCCTTATTAGTCCCCCGACCGCTCTGCAGGGAGAAGCATCCATTCCTGGTATTAAATATTAAAAAACTAGACACAAAAATGAAACATTTTTATCACAAACAAGTGATAGAAGTCGAGGACAAAAGGGTAAATCGATTTTTTTGGGGGAAAATATATGCGATTTTGGGTTTCCCTTACTTATAGGAAATAGTTGTATTATAAATATTATTCAGTTTTCAATAATGATCTAAATTTCAAGCTGATATAATATACTAACATTATTATATATAAGTTGTAATATTTTAAATTAACAATTCCTGCAAACTCACTAAGTCTTTTCACCTGCTTGCCCCAAAAGAGTACAGAATAAAAAAAGAGAAAACCAGAAACATAAAAATGTTCCATGTAAATGCTAAATAAAACACTATGATAAACATGTTGTAGAGTCAGTCGACCCGCCCTTGGTCCTGTGCCACGCTACTCATGCTCGTCCTTGGTCCCTTCGCTGCTCTCCCAGAGGATATTCAAATAAATGTCATACGCATTTGTTTTTCGGTTTTACCTTTTTTTTGCTCTCCTCTCATTTCGGTTATAAAATTTTATGTTAAAAGGATAATGTTTGGAATTTTTATGTTTACAGGTGAACAATTTTCCAACGAGCTGCGCAGCGGGAGCGTAGGAAGGCAGTTGCCCAGGAGAAGCTTGGAGGAGTTGGGCGTGGGAGAGAGAGCAGCAGCTCCGGTCGGGGCATGTTTTCGCATTTAATAAAGTATTAAGTGTTATGTTTTTGCGGTAAAGTTCTCACTCATTGAATAACACAAAATGTCTGGCAAATTTGTTGGGTGTTTCCCGCAACCCATTCTATTACCAGTCCCAGTCCCTCCACCTGGGATAATGCGTAAATGCTGTTCCATTTAATTGCTAGCCTTAGCTGTGGTTGGCCCCTCTCCACTCTCCCTACTCACCCGTGGAATCGAAGTTGTATGTGTGATCCTTGGCATCGCGCAGCATATTAAACTCCTTTGGCATATCAATATCCTCCAGCTGCAGCTCCTGCAGGCTGTCATCGTCGCACTCGTCGTACTTCTCCTTCACATTATCCAGGTCGTAGGTGTGGAAATCGAACTCACGGTTGCAGCGGCCCACAATTTTGTCATTCTGCATGTGAGCTGTGTAGAGTATAAATATATAATTTGTAATTTACTTTCTTTTTTTTTTACTTGGGAAAAACTCACATATTTTCTCCTGCAGGAACTCCTTGACTGGGTCCAGGGGCAACTGATCGAAGCCATAGCTTAGGTTGAAGAAGGGACAGTCGTTCAGCTGGCGGGTCTCGCCTTTCTTTTTCTGCGGCGGACTAGCTCGGTGCAGATGGAGGGTTCGCCGCCGCCTCACCTTGTCATCCTGCAGTCGCGGATCGCAGTACGGACGACGCTCGGGCGCAACCTTCTTTTGCATGCTGGGTACATAGGTTTGACAACTGGTGAGTGTGCGTTTGAGTGTTTGCTGTGCTGCCGAATCCGTATTCAAACCCACAAAACACAACGAAACACGATTTTCTAGTCTGCTCTCATTTGTTTCACTCAGTGCGGCGGGGCACACTTTTCTCGCCCCTTGGAAAATAGGAGCAGAAAAACAAAAAACGGGAGCTCGAATGCCAAAAGTTTACACAGTCAGGCAGGCAGCAGTAGGAGCGAAATATTTGTGGGTCCAGCGATGGACGTGAAATGTTTACAAACAAAGTCGAGACCCAGGCAATGGGCATGGCCATGGCAACCTAGGGCTATGGGGCGGGATGGGAACAGGAGGCGTACGTGTAACCCGGGCAACCAGGACCGGCTGGCAAAAGCTGTACTGTGGAGGAGACACACCCCCGTCACTCCGTCCGTCAATAGCTCGCCTTTCAACGTGCTCGCTGGCTGCTCGATAATATTTGATATTTGTGTCTGAGTCCTCGACTGGCTTCCATGGCTCCAACTGACACTGTACTAAGAAAAATAAAGAGTGGAATTAGAAAGGCGTTCTTAATACAATTAGTGCTTGGAAAATATAAAAAAGATCTCTTCTAGGCATAAGACTATACCCTCTAAAACCTCTTAAAATAAAATACACATGGAAATATGGTAACTTACAGATATTTTCTTCTTGTGCATCACCAGACAAGGTAACGCGGCGGCAGCTTTTCTCGAATTGTGCACACATTTTTCAATAAAAGCGCTACAACTGCATAAAAGCTGGTCCTAGTGCCATTCCTCCTGCAACTCCTGCTGGCATTCTGTGTATTTATTATCCCATCTGTCTGGCAAAAGGAGCAGCAGCAGCATCAGGAGCAGGACTCGTCATCGAACCTGATTATATGTTGACAATGATGGAAAATAATAATACTAGCATATTCAGAGGGCTCCCTCAAATAGGGTTTGCCCGCTCAAAAGGCTATTAAGCAGAGATCCAATTGCACTTTGGCTTAACTAAAGATGCTCTGCTACTGTCCTGGGCCTCGGAATCTGCAATTAGCGCAACAATTAATTGTGGTAAATTAATTGGAAATTTGATTAACGGGCAACTGTGGCAGCGTGGCCTTACCTTTGTGGTATTTCCAGTCAAAGGCATTCAACTTTGACCAACATTACGGCTGCCACAACGGCATATGTGAAGGGATATAGTCTTCGTCGTGTGTGAGAGAAGTGACAAGTCGTGGGAATAGCTGGGCATGCAGTGGAGGCCAGTAACCAGGTCATCCGGTTCACGCCTGTCACGTGCCTAAGCGCACTGCCCCAGCAATGCTATGCAGGTGTCTGCATCGTAGGACAGGTCCTCCTGGGAGCTTGGCCTCTGGCTGCAGTGCATCCAAAGCCATGCGTGACAAATATTTATTAACTGACACAACAGCGGGCAGCGGCTTAGGACTAAACCTGATCTTGGCTTAGCTCACTAATAAAAAATTGATTTGCCTCGTCAATTGTCACAAATAATGATTACCACGCATTTTCGACTTTCCCTCCCTCTCCCATGCCAGTCCAATCCTGGGATTCTGGGGGCATGACACGCATCAAATTGCATTTAGTTTGTCATTGGCCCTTTGGCAGTGTGGCAGGGTTGGAACTCCGTTCTCCGGACAAACAAAGGGCCGTAATGCGACGGCTGTCAGTCACGTGACCTCGTTGCTGAATATACTCCAAAGGGGGCGGCGGAATGGGCGGCACAACATCATTATTAACGAAGTCAACGAGCAGCAACAAAAGTCCGGAGCCGGAGCAGCATCATTTCCAGCCTGTGAGTATGCAACACTTTTCACCGAAACGGAAATAAGTCGAATCCAATCATACCCTAAGAAGCTTAACTTTCGGGCGGGGAGCAAGTTTTCCGACTGGGTGTCAGGGAAGTATGAAATTGGATATGAACACAAAAGAAGGCATATAAATCTTTCCAGGAAAAAAACAGGAAATAAATCAATGCCTGCAGTAAATGGAAAAGATGAAAACTTTATGCGATTCTTTTTAAGATGATCGGTTCTGTCTTGATTTAGTTTTTACACAGGATTTATGTTTTATTTTGGGAATATTACAAATTGAATGATAAATGTGTGTTAGCTTGTAAGGAAAATATAAGAATTTATAAACGAAAATCCAAGAAGTAACAATTACTAAAACTTTAATTGTAGTTTAAGTTACTTTAGTATGATATTTCATAGTTATTAAATATATTTTATATACATTTCTTTAAAGTTTTATGAACTTTTTCCTGTAGAGTATAATTAAAGAATTGCCTCGTCAAGGCGTAGGTTTTTTTCTCTTCTTTCCCCATTGTTTATTCGTCTCAATTCTTGCTTTTTTTCCTTGCAAATTGTTGGCATGGCGAATCGCATTTTGTCCATGTGATTAATGGGCATTGCTGGAAGACGTCGCGACTTGAAAAATTACATTCAAAATAAACGACAGAGGCGTCGTGGTCGGCGTTTTAAAACGGCCTGTCACACGTGAAAGGAGGTCCATCCAGGGGGCGGGTGACGCCAGGCAATATCTGGCAAGGTGGATAAAGGACGACGCACGTAAAAGATGCAACAGGAGCGAGAGCAAACACCGTGTGATTTACACGCAAACCCACGGTCCTGATGATGAGGTGGCTGTGGGGTGGGCCAGGGAAAGGGATGATGGGAATGAGTGTTCAGGAGGATGGGTAGAGGGGTAGGTAGGGGTTGGGGTCATAGAGCAAATTAGGGGTTGACGCTGCCGTGCAGGCAACGCACTCTCTGTTGTCAATTGAAAACGTGCCAACAATTTGCAACGACGATTAATCGTGCGACCAAACTGGGAGTTACAATTGCCAGCGAACTGGCTGCCTCCTCCTGCCACAAGAGTCCTCCCTGGATCCAACTGTCGTCTGGTGGTGTCCTCTCCAAAATGGGTACCGTGCATGTTGCGACGCATTTGCAGCTCTGTTTACGAGCGTCACGCCAGGCATCCCAGGAAGACAGGGAGCCCGGCATCCAGTCTGCCAAGTTTGCCCAGCGTTTGACTAATTTGTGTTGGCTCTATTATGCATGGCCGGGGAATGGGTTAGGGATTGACATTGGGCTTGGGATCGGCATGGACAGTGGTGGGAGATGGGAGATGGGAGGATGACGACGCCGCCGCCGATGACTTAAGCCGCCTGGACAGACGACGTCTGATGAGCACTTAATTCCCGCTCGCTAATTGGTTCCACGCACCGAGGGGAAGAGATCAGGAGCGGCATAAGATACAGATAGAACTGATGGGAGATTTAAAGCAAGCTTAAATCACGTCTATATTTATGGCTGGTTAATTATTGGTTTGCGCTTAAAATTTAATCAACTTTTATCGCTAATATTGCGACAAGCGTGCGCGCTCGCTTATTGTTATCATTAATAATGAATATAATTAAGGAATGTCAAAGTGGTTAACACAGAAAAAAAAGAAAACAAAAACCAATCGTGAAATACAATCGCTTTGCTCGCACATAGATACATTCATCAGATACGGATGCAGATTCCGGCACTGAGATCCATCGAATGGGCCATCATTAAAGGCTTTTGTATGCAATTACATGCCGCATTGAGCAATCATAAATTAGCTTTGCACCAAAGTGCGATAATAAAAAAATGTAAAGCGAAATTCAATTAAATAATAAAATGTACAAAAATTTAATGCCCATAATGAAAAGTCGGCAGCCCAGAGCTCATGTTCATATTAATCATAACAATTTGCAACACCAGCAACACCTTCCCATCTCCCATTTCATCTCTCATTGCCTTGCGGCACTAAAAAATGGATACTGAAATCTGTCTGCTTTATATATATATTTGTGTATATATACATATTTGTTTTAAATGTCAACAATCATCAATGCAAATTCATTGCAAATATATATATGGACATTGGCTCCTGATTTATCCGCCAGCCGTCGCATCAATTGCGATCGAATAGCATCTGATGTGGAGCATAAAAAAAAATTCAAAGAACTGAAGTGGAAAACCGCAAGAGGTGTCAGAGAAGGTCCACTAAAACCTGATAACCTTAACTATACATAGATGACCTTAAAAACAAGTAACTTGATATGCTATACTACATAAATAATATAATAAAAACCAAACAAAGTCCTATTGATTTACCTCTGAAATGAAAAGCTTTAACTATTTTTGCACATTATTAAATAAACTTCCTAAGCTCATTTCCCTTGTGTTCCCGAAAATAACCATAGAATTTTAGTTTTTAAATTGAATTATCTGAGAGTGGAGGAACTTTAAGGGTATATACAGAGGCTGCTGCTGAAAACAATTCGCTTAGCTAAGCATTTTCTGCGTACTCCGATAAAATGTTCGACCCGGGTAAATATTTGTGCGAATATCTGGCAGATACACCATGAAGCTCAGCCATGTGTGTGTGTGAATAAATTCTGCAATGCGTAGCTCAAAATTTCCAACACCAAATTGTTATGGTTTTTAGTCTTAAAGATAAATGTACTTAGCCAGAGGACTTGGACTTGGTCGTCTCTGGGTTCATTGTAAAGTTTTGCATCTGCTTTTTGCCTTGGCAAAATATGCCCCAAAATATTTACTCGTGAGGAGATTGTTTAGTTAAACCATAAAAAGACCGGCATGTCCGGGTCGGAGACAGAGACTCTGTCGTCTGCCAGAGACAATGTAACATTTAAGAAAATTTAAGCCGCAACCGACTTAAAAACGAGCCTGGACGAGACGAGTGTCCTTTTTATTTTTTGTCACAGAGAGGTCCCTTTTTAGCCATGGCCATATGATTTAGCCATTCTGAAGCGGCTACTCCGGCTGCTTTTGTTGGGGATTTGGCCCAGCCTTTTGCCTTTTGCGTTTGGATTTGGATTTTTTGCTCATTGTCTTCCTGCCAAAGGGCCCCGGCCCCGAAACAGCGATGTGATGTGCCTAAGACCAACTAAGGGCCAAAGCCCGGGATAGATGGATGGACAGGCAAACAATTGTTGTTTGTATCCTGGTTAGCTTTGGTCGTCGAGCTGCTGCTGCTGCTGCGGCTGCGGCTGCCTTGGCTGCTGTACAAATTAGTTTCTAATACCTTCAAGTCAAACAGTGGACCCGCCCGGAGAGAGACCTTTGCCGGCAGGGCAAACAGACAACAAGAAGATGAGGACAGCCGGGGCAAACACACTGGGATTCCTGTCTCAAAGGGAAGCTACCGAAGCTACCAAAGCCTTCCCCTATCCCTAAGTCCGAAATCCACAATCCTTGGCCCCCGGAAGTTTGCCAAATCACTTGAGCGTGTTTATGAAATAACGTTGACTCGAGTCCTATATACATTATGTGGGGGCGTGGGGTTTGTGTTTGTGTGCCGGCCGCCTAATTACAAAACCCATCCGCAGTCGATTGATTCGCCCAGCAAATGGTATTTTAAATAGTTTCGCTTAGTTTCCTCTCAGTCTCCGCCTTCGCGTTTAAAACCAACTTCAAAGCATCT